TTATTCTTATATATATATATATATTTATAATATACAATAAATTACTATTGAACTTTAATAGTTTTCATTCGACAAACATTAAAAAGTACATGTTATAGTATAATTAATTTTCATTTTTAAGCGAGAAGTAATTAACTGTCTTAATTAACTTTCTTATACTTATCAATTTACGCTCTAATAAGTTGCAGAAATGATTAATTAATAAATATTTCAAGAGGTTTGTTTAAAAAATTTTGTGACATGATAACATTTTTCATAAATATCTTGTATTACGAACATGAGTTTTTCAACGAATGTTTTCAATTATAGAGTTGAAGGAATTTTAATTAAAACTGTTCAATGTTTTTAAATTGTTAAATTTAAATGTCATTAAGATAAAAATTGTACAACTGTAGTATTATTTATTGAAGTAAAATTACACTGTATTACGTGTTTTGAATTTATAATGAGATGTTATTAATTACCAAATTTATATATGCGCTTTTGCATACAGAAATGTTATATGGTTATCACAAATTAAATTATATTGACTTTCAAATTATTGATTTATAAATGAGTAAACTGGGTATACTTTAGTATGTGTTTTAGCACTGATGACGTTAACATTGTTCTCGAAATAAGTATAAGCGATTTTGTGGCTTTTTTTTTTTAATTAAATATTTTTTTTAATTAATATTTAAAATATTGTTTTAATTTTAAATATTACTTTGTGTTAATAAGTTTATATTTATAAATCATTGTATGTGATATTTAATTACTTAGCTAAAATAACTGTGACGAAAATATCTAATGTTTTGTTAATAGTAATTAGTTTGTATAAATAAGCTTGTTTACTAGTACTGGTATGGTAATTATTCGTTGGTGTTTTATCATGTAATGAATAGTCTTATATGATTACTAATTATAAACATATATGTTTATCCTCTGGAACGTGTGGCAGCTTACACGAAGGATACCATATCAAATTCAAAATTAATTTATAAAATGAAATGATAATAATAAAATAACAATAAAAATAGAAATAATCATAAATTGTTATAATGTGTTTCAAAATAAACACAATTAAAAATTTATTTCTAAAATATATGAACGTGTTAATCATCAAAAACTGTTTAATTTCTAATAAAAAGTTAAATAAATTTCATTTCACGAACAACGTACTTTTACGAATACAATGTATACAATTGGTACATAGTGTAATGCATATTATATAAGAAAATAATGATATTAAAATGATTTTATACCATTCTATTTATTTAGTTTTTAAGTATCATGATGGTTGGCATTGTTGTTTTGTATAGCGCGTCGACAATATACAGTAAGAATCAAATATAATTCTAAACAGTGAAAGTTGTATATTAGGTTAGAACTGGATCTCCAAGCTTTTCTTCATAATACCATTAATATTACTTTTTGTTTATCAAGGACATACTGACTAGTATATTTTTACAAAGCTAGCACATAATGTTTTATTAGTTACTATTTCTTTGACAATACGATGAAATTTAATTTTGATTTAGTGATTGCGAGAATTAGACATTTGATTTATTACAATGAGGATGAAAAAATAACAAAATTCAATTGAACGCATACAAACAAAATTTAAAGAAAAAGCGTATTGTTAAGGATTAAAAAATTATAATTATAATTTTTAAAAATGTATATAACTAATTCTATTTTTTTTTTGTAACGCAATAAAAAGAACAATTTTCAATGATTATAAAACGTATTTGATAAATATGTGATTCGAAAGTACTTATGAGCAGTTGTTGTTTGTAATCAACTGAAGTCAAGAAATGGTAAACAAAGTGAAATGATATGATTAATGTAATTCGTTAAGAAAATCAGATTATCAAACGTACAGATTTTATTTTAGATCGATTAATTTCACATTCACTTGGTCAAGGTTTTTGAAGTTAGTAGAACCAGCAGTAATAAGTGTTCACAAAAATGTTTGAAAGATTTATTTCTTTATTTATCTGAAGATATAAAAATTATAAAGCAAATATAAATTGCTATTGAGTTTTTATTGTGTACTTTTTCTATTGACGTTACATTTAAACTATTTACTCAAATAATTAATATACTCTATTAAGTTGGCATATTGTTGGATAAAATAAGTTAATTAAATTTTTTTTGGTATCTGACAATTTTTTGATAATTTCGCAATATTTGAATTGTGTGTATAATTTAAGAAAAATATCTAATTATTATACAATTTTTAATACTATTTCAAAATTAGTTTTAGTTTCGATGCAAAGCTAATAAAGTATTGGTTTTGGGATCGTGTGCGTTTTATTTAAGTTTGTAAATTTTCAACAAGTCTCAATTTTTGAAAGTGTTCTGGAATGTCTTCCCTCTTTTAAGCTGTATCAAATCAATTTCTTGAAATGTACTAAAATATTAAGAAAACCTTCCCATGTTTGTTTCAAAAATTACAAATATACAAACTTTTGTGAAATTTATCAGATTCATATCTAAGCATTTTTTATAATAGTGATGTTAATCACTCTCTTATAGATATCATTTATACTTATTCAAACTATACCGCGACGCAACTGTGCTGGGTTTTTAATGACTATGTATGAAGTATTTTTTAAACTTTCATCTGAGTTTAACATTATCTACCTAAACATTAGGTTATATATTTATGTATAAGCAAAATGTATTAAGTTATAATAGTACGGTACAGTAATATAAAATTAGCCATTCATAATACTATGTTTCGGTTTAATAACTTGTTAAAGGGAATACATGATTCTATTAGTATGAGCTGAAGTTCATTTTTTTCGATTTTAATTAATCATGTTTTCTGTATAACAAAAATACTTCTATACAAATTATCCATCTTAGTGTTTAACACACTTGTATTAAAAGTTAAATGATTCTATTTTTGCTGAACTACATTTCATTAAAAACAAGTTTACTTTCCTTCATGGCTTCATTAAACTTCTCCTTATTCCCACGCTTATTTTGTTCGGTTAACAAGGTTTTAGTAGTGATTCAAAACTGTTAAAAGAATATATACTATTATACTGTTATATACTATTAATCAAGCGCTGGCAAAATTTGAATTTTATAGAAAAAATATAATTTTTTTTTTAATATAATATGAAAAGAATATGTGAATATTACATTATTATATACGCGTAATGTGTAATATAAATAACTAAGAATATCTGCTTTTTAACGAATGATAAAGAAGTTTATTTTATCTATGAAAAATATTTCATCATTTTAAGTGTTTACTATTAAATGATACGGCGATGATAATGAATACAATTTGAATCTATAAGAGTTAGAGCATTATTCCAAATCTATTAAAAACTCATTGAAAAAAATTAAAAGATCCTTACGATTTTTGAAAATGATAGTTATAGTTTTCAATAGTGATAAATAGTTTGCATTTTCACTATTTCATCTCGGAATTTTATTAAAAATAAACGCGTTGTTATTATTATGTGTGACACTCATCATGGCGAGAAAAAATGAAAGCGTGTAACCGATCCCAAAAAATTTTATAGAATGTAAATGTTAGGGCATTGATAAATTTGAATTTTAAGGTGTGGCGATTCGTATATGAATAATTAAATAGAAAGAAAATATAATAATTATTTAAAAAAAAAAAACTATTTCTATTGAAAATTAACTCACTAAAATTGTATTTAAAATTCCACTTAAAACTTTATACTTGCTAAAGTATTGGTTGTTCTTGTCGGATGTGATTAATCAATTCAATTTTTAACAATAAAATTTCCACTATAAAGTTTATAAAAGAATACTATAGAATATTGTAGAGCTGTAACTTGAATTTTTTCGTTATAATCATTTAGGTTAATTATTTAACTTTCTTTTTCTACAATAAATTATAAAAAAATGTATATTAGTGACGTGGTTAAATAATTGAAGTAAATGTATATCGAACCCTACCCAAGCGATATTATCCATTCAAAGTTTTGGATGGTCAATAATAAAACTACTTTTTTAAGTTTACTAAAATGTAAAAAGATTTCTCTGTAGTATACTATTATTCTGATAATGAATCGATTAGTATAAATTATAATGAAAACGAATTATTAATAGTTCAAGTTTTCGGAAGGTTTGAAAACATCGAGTGTGTAATGTTTTTTTCAATAGATATTTAAATACTTTTTTCTCTTTTACATTTATTATTATCTGTAAAAACTATTTCTTATGAATATTAATATAAATCTGATCTCATAAAAGTCATTTGTTAATCGGACACAGACTGTATGACCGACTATGTCTGACATTTATTACTATTTTTATTATTATTATTATTAGTGTGCCAGCCGGCCGGTCGATGGCACTTGACCTAGTGAAAGTGATGTGATGATCACACTTGCCGGATGTAAGAGCTTCTTCAGCGCTAGGGATTGAACTGTTGATGGACAATTGCATCATTGAACGATTCAGTGGTGAAAGTGCACCTGACGTCATACTTCGTAGGAGTCAAAGGGTTGATTCATACAAATCATATAATCGAATATTAAATTCTTGGTGTGATCTTATGTGTTTTAATTTGACGTCATGTATTTACGCTGCTAATACTTACATAACATTTATTGCACACCGTGGCGCCGGTAAATCCGAGTGAAGAAACACATCCGCTTTTTGTGTAATTCATTATTATGCCATTATAATGATCCGCGTGCAGTGTCATTATTCTACAACAATGTTCAAAAGACAAGAAAAATTGCTCAATTTTACTAGACAAACAGAAATTTCAATTCAACGTGAATTACTGATGGAAAATAATTTTTTGTTGTCAAGTGGATGGCTCAAATAAAAAACTACCTTGCAATTTCTGATATGCGTTTGAAATCTATTGTTATATATATATTTACATAAGGAGTATTAAAACATTGTAACGATACAATTTTTTTTTTTTGCTAACTTTATGTTGGAAAATTTAAAGGTTTATGTCATGATAAGGCGTTTTTATTTTAACACTTATGTTGTCACTAGCACACGTGCGAGACGAACCGCAAAATATTTGGCCGCAATTGTTATTGTCTGTTGTGAATTGGATCTACTGTTTTTTTAATATTTTACAGTATGTAATGTTAATTTATTTAGAATGTCCATATCAATTATCATAGTGGTAATAACCGTATTTCAATTATTCAGTTATTTAAATACTTTTGTAAAAGTGAAAAACGATAGTTATAGCGTTGAAAAATACCGTTGTGGCGAAACACAATTATTTTGTTACTATATTAAAGTGAAACTACATGTCTTAAACATAGATTAAAATAATTCAATAAAAAAAATTTAATAAGAGTTGAGAAATGTTATAAAAATTATCAGAAACTCAACTGTAAAAGGAGGTAACTTTGATAACACTGTTTTTATCATGGATCAATTCTTGTTGACAATATGAATATATAGTTTTTTTTATCTTATTTACTTGTCTTCCTAGTTTAAATAATGCATTTTCTAAAGACTGACTTCAAGGACATATTTGTATTAATTATTTCCAGTCATTTTTATTTATAAAATGTACTATTAAAAACAAAATTTTCTTTGTGCACTATGTCTAGCAGTATTAATGACATAGATATGCAAAAAAAAATATTTTATTAAAATAATATAATAAATATATTTTTTTTTATTTCTACACTAATCATCTAGTAAAATTATAGACTATAAATATTCCAAAATATTTTTGCGATATTACCACACTAAGAAATATAAGTAAATAAAATTAAAACTATATTAAAAATATTATTAATTTTAAAACTAAAAAATATTAAACTCAAAAGCCACAACAAAAAAATTATTGAAAAGTCGCGGATACGTATTTTTTTAAAGTATGTGTTTAGCGTTGATAATGGTAACATTGTTTCCGAAGTATGTATCTGCGACTTTTTAGTAATATTTTTTTTTTGTGGCTTTTGAGTTTAATATTTTTTATTTTTTAAATTAATATTATTTTTAATATAGTTTTAATTTTACTTATTTAATTAGCCACAAGTGATCAATTTTTATTTTATTTATAATAAATATAAGCTTTGGAGGTAATTTGGCTTATTAAACTTCATGTTCATAACGTTTAATGAGCCGAATTGCCACGTGTCTACTTTACTTTTTCAAATAGGAACACATATTTTGAATTAAATAACTAATTTATATACATATATATATATATATATGTATTTTAACACTATATATATATATGTATATATATATATATATATGTATATATATATATATATATGTATATGTATATATATATGTATTTTAACCTTTACAAAGCATTATGAATGAAGTTAAAAATTATTACATGACGATTAATTTAAGAATAATATTTAACTAAAAGTATTCAAAAAATTTTTTTCAAAATAATTTTTATTCTTCGAAAAATTGAGTGGGTTATACGGATTGGAAAAATTATTTTCAGATAAATTTTAAATTTTGAAATCATTTTTATATTGTAAAGGTATTTTTTTAAAGATTATTGATGAATTTATAATGTATTAAGTTTATGAATAAAAATCTGTTAAAGCAATTCAACGTAGTATGAAATTGATATTTAATAATTTAGTATTGTAATTTTTTCGGAGAATTTATAAAAAATTATAAAGTAGTTATTACTTTTATGGCAAACATCTATAAAAATTGAAGGGATTGACACAGAACTTTTTAGATTATAATTTGTTGTTAATTATGAATACATGATATGCAAATAATTTTCATCAGAGTAAAAAATATATTTTTATTATTAAATTTTTTGTGCTAATTTCAAAGTAGCAATTATATGTTTTCCATCATCAATAATTTTTGATATTATAACTAATTAGTTAAAAACTATAGGATATAACTACATGGAAAATAGTTCTGTATATTTCAATTTAATCCTCTATTTAAACACCAAAAGTTACATAGAAAAAATTAATATTTTTGAAATGATTTATTACGATAAAAAATATAGTTAAAAACAAAAATAGTTTTTAATATTTAAGTTAAATCTAGTTTAAAATAACAAGTATTGATAATAAAGAAGAATTTATGTGTTTACTTGAAATTTGTGACAATGACTTTTGTAAAAAATGAATTAGATGCAAAATATTTGAAAATAAGGTAAGGCTTTCTATTGAAAAGAAGAAGAATTCATACATTTTTTATTTGATTCAAAGGAAGGTTTATCATTATATTTTGTAGTCTTTAGTGAGAAAATCGAAAATTGGATAGACCTTGATGTATATATACATAAATAAAAAGAATATTATTATTTTTATTTATACAAGAAGTATACAGTATCTTTAGTCTATACTGAAGATTTTCTCATAATAATAAAAAACGTACTCTTAATTTTTAAATTTCTTAGAAAAATAAATAATTTAAGTTGATCAAATAGTAAAAAGTTGGTATTGTTTAACATAATAATATTACTTAATTAATTTTAATACTACTAATTATAAAATATTAGTACACAAATGGATAGTATATGTATTGTATAAACTTTTCTGTGGAAGGGGATAAGAATTCTTCCACGGCCTTTCTGCCAGTCGTAAGAGGCGACTAATGAGGCTACGTCAGGTCTATAGTTGGTGTAACATTTTGTCAAAAAGTATGAAGAGTCTTAAACAGAACAGATGTACGCGGGGATAACAGATAAGTGGAAATAAAGAAGTTAAAGACAGAAAAAGTCTAAAGAATAAAGTTTTCATATCATCCGGACAACTTGTGGGGTAGCTGTTTCACCAGTCATGTGTACAGATCTACCCAATGCTTGTAATGTCAATACAAAATACAAAATAGGTATCTATCTTTCTAAGAATAGAAATTCACGTACTTAAGAATAAGTACGTGGAATGTTGGAACATTAACTAGTAGAAGTATTGAAGAGAAAAATTAATATTTGTTGTGTGCAGGGAACTAAGTGGAAAGGAGAGAAAGCGGGGATTTAGATGAGGTGATGAAAAGTAGAGTAACAGAAGTAATTAGGAAAAGTGACAGAATTATAGTAGTAAAATTAATTTTTGAGAAAAAAGTGTTGAATGTAGAAGTGCCTAAGCACCACAAGTAAGATGTGATGAAAGTGATAACAAAATAAAGAAGTGTATTTGAGAGAGATGGATGAGGTGATGCAAGGAATACCCGGTAATGAGGATGCGAGATAGGTGGAGATATGAATGGACATGTCGGTAATGAGAGGAGAGGATACGAAAGAGTACACGGAGGGTATAGTATTAGTGGGAAGAATGAGGCTGGAGAAAGAATCTTGAATTTTGCAGTATCGTATGATATTGCTGTGATTTATACTTATTTTAGAAAGGGATAAGAACATTACATAACATTATATAAAAACTACAACAATATGTAATACATATTATTGTAGTTTTATGAATCAAACGCTATTTTCCTTTATGAAAATATAAAATTTTCTATGATGGAAAAAACTTTAGGTGTCTCTTACATGAATAACAATAGAATTAGTACTGTGTAGATGTAGGGGTGAAAGATGGCCAAGTTGGTGGTGTTACCAAATTAATACAAAAGTAATAAAATAAATGTTAATAATTCTTTGCGTGGAAGTGTATGTATTTTGCTTACAAGAGTCGCTTTAAATTTAATGGGATTTATTTGTCGCTTTTAATTTATGGGAATTGTTTTAAAGCACAATTTTTTTCAAGGTCAAATGAAAATTTGACTGTATACATTTTTTTTTGAATTCATGCAGTGAAGGGTTAATAATTAGACAGTACCTATTCAACAACAGAAATCTTGCATTTTTTATTTAATAAAAATTATCCTCATTAGTTTTATATTATCAGTATGTTTTTTAATTATAGGATATATATTTATTCATAATTATGTGTACAGTCAAAATTGATCGACCTTAAAATTATTTTCGGAAGTAGAATATCAATTAGCTTTTTTTATAATAATATACTAACGTAGAATATGAATAATTAATAAAATAATGAAAAATAAAAAATATTTAATGAAGGGTGTCCATTTTTTTTAGTATTATAAGAATAAGATAGTTCCCCAAATATGATAGTTAGTCTATGTTTGGAGTTAATTTAACTCTTTTTAAGTTATACTCTTAAAACAAAATGTTCGAATTTTCATATACATGTACTGGAAATTTTTAACGAATATAATGTAAGGGAAAATGTTGATAAATAGTGTTAAATAATTATATTTATGTACGAATTTTCGAAACTTTATGTCGACATCAAATTATTTTCGTGTAAAAGTAAAGTGTGTATTAAATATTTTATACTGAAGTATGAAAATTATTGTATAATATATGTATAATAATGTCAAATATGTCTTCAATAGGCAAATTAGATTTAGTTTTTTTACATATAAGCTTAGTACAGAATAAAAAATACCACTGAGTAATTCAAATCATTAATATCTACATAAATGAAATAGTGCATTGATGTTTTCAGCTTTACGGGCGCGTTGACTTTATTTTTGAGATACCTCCAAAACTTTTCTACTAATTAAATTGAAATTATTACTGTTGCGAGAATAAATAAACATTTTGTTAATAATGAATCATTTATTTTCAGGTATTATTGTTGAAATAAAAAATAAAAACATATTCAAATGAAAAATGATAAACTTTCGACTTTTGAAGTTCCTAAAACTTTATCAAGGGTTTAATCCGTTAAATATGAATGCCATACGAAACTTTAATAATTATCAAATATTTTATACATTTATTTTGTTTTCAGAGATAATTGGAATTAATTGTAGTTTGTTCATTGGCTATTATTATATAAAGAATGATTTTTTTTCTGTAGTACAACTTATATTATCGTTATTATGCACAATTGATATAGTTCTTAACAACATCAGATTTTCTCAAAAATTCAACGACTTTTGGGCATTAATAGATGTATTCAGAATGGATTTTTTATCACACGGACAATACAGAAAAGATATTTTTGAATATTACAGGAAAAAATGCATACGAATAACAAATTTTTGTACATTTGTGGGTTTAGTAATATTATTATTGTGGATCCTTGCTCCACTTTTCATTAAAGAGTTTAGATTTAAAAAAAAGGACGGTAGTATAATGGTTTACAGAAATAGCGTTCTTAACCTGTACTTTAGTTTCATATCCATTTCATTTTATGAACAAATTTATCCATTTATTTACATTTTGGAAAGTATATATACAATTCATACAGTTGTAGAAGTTGTTCTTTCTAATGTATTAATAATGCAATTTTGTTGGATGCTATCAGCACAATTGAAAACTATTGTTTCTAAATATGAGTCTTTTGGATACAAAATTCTTGATAAAGGTAAGTGATTGTTAACATCTTATTATTATTATTATTTTTGTTTTTAATAAATGGACAGAAATAATGTTTGAATTTTTTAAAATGTTTATAAGCTTACCAATATTATATATATTTCAATATTATTATAATACAATATATTAGATTACATATATTGATATATACATATTTAAATTTAATTTAAGTAGAAATATGAATACATTTTTTTTAAGACTAGGATCTCAACCAGAATTTGAAATTCACAAATGAGTATCATACTAAACTAGTTGTGTAATTAAGGACTTACAAGTTTTTAAATGGAGTGTTTAAAACATTTACTATAAATTAAAACACTAGCGTTGAAGAGTCTAATTTCATTTTCTTTATTTTTGAATTTTATACAAATCAGTCGGTTAAGCAAACAAAAAGTGTATACTGTGAAAATTCTAAAATAAAAAAACTACAAACAATTGTAAATTTGTGTAAAAGTTGACATATCTTGTTAACAGGATAATTAATATTTTTAAACAATACAAATAAATAAAATTATTAAGAAAAACCTTACTTTTTTAGATTTATTATAATTATGAAGTTAACGTAAACTTTCGATCAGTTCTGTAATTAGACTTATAATTCGATAAAATTATTTATTGTGTGTCACTTTTAGAAATAGATCCGGAATTTGAAGAAACATACATTGAAGATTTCAAATCAGTTTTTTCAGATAATGTCAAATTAAGTATGTAAGTAAAACTACAAAAAAAATTTCGTCGGGAAAAATAATAGCTTACCAACTATAGTCGGTTCACTGTACTGCACTGTACTGCTGACGCCGAAAGACAATCGGTCGGTAAAGTATTGAGAAGGTGGCAAAGCTGTGATTTAACAAATAAATTATTTGTTTACTTATTCATTACTTTTGTATTTAATTGATTTGAAAATTACAAGTATTTTTTGCTCATATTTTCCACCAAATGTCAAACAAACGTATTCATAACGATCTATTGACGTCAGTGGCGGCTCGTGGCGATCGCACCCCCTACTAAAATTAATTAAAAGAAGAAAATTAATTGTATATTCTTAATTCTATATTTTTATTAAAAATGCAAATTTTTAAATTGTAAAATAGTTATAATACATTTGTCGTGTGCGAACATTAAAGTTGTTTCCTTCAGTATTCGCATGCACACGCGAGCAGTGTTTGGACGACCGACAGCGTCATCCATACAGTAAAATATTCGTGTATTACTATATTGGGTAATTTATTTTTAGAATTAACTATGTGTACGCTCGTTGTTATCGTTTGCTATAATAGTGTAATCGCTATTATTTTCATTTCTATTTTCTACTGCCACCTTTAATATAATAATACAGTGGACCCCCGGTAATCCGGCCCCTGGTTAATCCGGCGCCCCTTGTAATTCTACATGTCTATTATTATTGGGTATTTTTTTTACAATCTTTGCTAATGTAGATAATGCATGATTGAACAGGTTACAATTGTGCCATCACTATTGTGCTCAAAGTATAGATTCTTTGTTTACTGTTTATTCATTGTGTATTACGTATAAGTACCTAGTAAATTATGTCGTCACAAGCCCAGAAGCGAAAGCACAAAACACTGAAAATTAAAGAAAAATGTGATATTTTAGACCATTTAAATCGTAATGAATCTTTTAGTAGTTTAACAAGTGAATACGGCGTAGGCCGATCTACAATTCATGATATTAAAAAAAATGATGAGAAGATTAAAAACTTCGTATCAACTACTGACTGTCGGACAGGTAAGAGACAGACACTCAAGAAAGCTGAACATCCAGAAGTGGAAGAAGCTTTGTACATGTGGTTTCTTTAGGAAAGAAATAGGCATGCTCCAATTTCGGGACCCATGTTGACCATGAAAGCTAAGTTTTTTTATAAGAAAATTATAAAAAAAAATTATTTTGTGGATAGCAAGGGATGGTTAGAACGTTTCAAAAGTCGTCATGGCATACGTTTATAACAAGAGAGAAACTTTCTAATGATACTACCTGCATAGAGCCATTTAAATTAAGATTTTTGCAAAAGGTAATAGATTTAAATCTTAACCCATCACATGTGTACAATGCAGACGAATCAGGACTTTTTTAGCGTGTGATACTAAACAAAACTTTCGTTTCCTATAACGAAAAATCCGTACCTGGGCGAAAAGTAAGTAAAGAGCGTGTAAATGCTGCGAGTACGCACACTCTAAAAATGGTGATCATTGGAAAATCTAATAAACCACGTGCATTCAAAAACATTGATTTGCCTGTACATTATTATGATCAAAAAAGTGCGTGGATGACAAAAGACCTTTTCAAGAAGTGGTTTGATGAATGCTTTGTACCACAAGTTAAAAAATGGTTGAAAAATCATAATTATCCTCAAAAAGCGTTATTGCTTATTGATAAAGCTCCCGGTCATCCGTCTGAAGAAGAACTGACAACTGAGGATAAATGCATCACTGCGATGTTTCTTCCACCAAACTGCACTGCACTAATTCAACCAATGAATCAGCAAATAATTCAGTTTGTCAAGCAAGATTATAAGAAAAATCTACTTCTGAGAGCTGTATCAAAAGATCAGCCAATACTAAAAACTTTAAAAGAATTCAATATGAAAGACTTGGTTTTTGCTCTTTGTCAATCGTGGAATGCATTAACTTTGTCAACTATTACATTGTTTTGGAAAAAGTTATGGCCGGATATAGTCACCAATCCTAGCAACGATCCACAAATCAGTGTAACTTCGGAAATAATAAAGAAAGTTGCTGCTGAAACACAGATAAGATCGCAAAATTTGGAAATCTGGTACCATCGAATGGATAAGGAGGAAAATATTTTTTATGAAATGTCTGACAATGAGATTATAATAGACATATCTAGTAATACAACCATAAATCAGGAAGATGACGACGACGTAATTGCAAATACTCCGCAATTGATAGCACAAGATGCAGCTAACGCCTTTGAACTGGGTTTGCAATGGGCTGAGGGGGTGCATCCTACAACGAAATTTTACTTTTAAGAAGACTGAGAGACAGAGCATTAGTCTAGCGTTTCAATAACGTTAAGCAAAAAAAAGTTGAAAAATATTTTCATGCTCCATAAATTCATATGATGATTTTTATTCATAATTTTTGACTATTTTAGTATGTACATTTGTTTAAACACAATTACATTGTAATTGTATTCCTTAATGTAAAGTTAATTTTATAATAAAACATAAGTTTTCTATTGTGTTGTTTATTTTACTTAAATCGACATACATAATGTACTTTACACCAGGGCTTGTCAAGACCAAATCTTATCTTTGAATTTGTGATTTTTCGGATTACAAGATACCCTTTTGTTAAAAGTTCCGGACTATAGGAGGTTTTAGGGAATACTCTATAATCCGGCAAATTCAATAGTTCGACACTGATCTACTAAACGTTTGTCGGATTACCGGGGTCCACTGTATGTGTATTGTGTTTTATTTTATTACTAGGCTTCGTCTAGCTGAGTCTCCGCCACAGACCTGGGGACCTACGAGCTTTATGTGTAAGCTTCTTTGGGCCACCGTCGTACGTAGGCCACTGATTCTGGTAGGAGTACCCGGCTACGCCTGGCACGAGAAGTGTATTTCCAGAAAAAATATTACATCAGAATCAGTGTAACAAAAATATAGTAAAAATGTAATTACCAAAATTAGGAAATTTTAAAAAGAGAATATAGTAAAACGTATTGGTATAAGGTTGACGTTTGTTAATGAGGTATTCCCCTTAGGCGTATTCAGAAATTATTTTTGTAGGGTTTTTAATATGTCTTTACTTTGTTACACATGCTACAGAATTTTTTTGCTAAAAATCAAAGTGATGATCAAAAAAAAAGGACATTAGGTCCTTATATCTTAGAAGTTGTCTAAAAAAATATTAATAACGCTGGTTCAAGGGGGGCCCATATCCCCTTTAAGTACACTCCTCGTATACACAAAAATGATTAATATTCTAATTATAATAATTGTGTTTATATTATAGAATAATTACAAAAAAATTCAGCAGGTTATACATGGAACTATGTAAAAAATTTAATTTTGATAAAATATTGGTAACTGTGATTTTACGTTGGACAGCATAGTTGTTATAGATGGATCCCAATTTAAACGATAAACCCATAAACTCATACATCATAAATGAGAAAAATAATAATAACATACTCTTCATATAATGAATGTACAAACTTATATAACCGTCTTGAAATTTATATATAACATTCCTTGATAATATATATATAAAATATAGTGCTATGCGCAAATGCAAAATAGTGTTCTAATAAAAATACTTATTACACACATTAAGGTTCAGAATAAACGTATGCGCAGAAATGAGTCAATGCGCATATTTAAACCATGCACGTGGACTTAAAAAAAAAAAAAGCTCGTAAAACGGTGGAAAATGAACACTGGCGTCAGCAAGCGTTTTTCTCGAAAACGGTCGAAATTTTAAAACGCTCTCGGACGAGCGACAATGATTTTTCGACCTTCGTTAATAATTTTCCCGGGGTCTGATGATCGAGTACTTTCGCTGAAAAATAAATTTTGAATATCCGAGCACGCTAAGTAATTTTCCCAGAAAGGCGTTTTTTCCTCGTTCTATTATATAATAAGATATTTAATTTGACAATTTTTTATTCCCATAACTAGCTGTATTATATTTAAAGTCGCATCCCCACCGCCAGTATCCACGAGCCACCACTGGTAGACGTACAGACGGTACAATGCTTAAGGAGTTCAAGTTAAATTCAAGTTAAAATCATTTCATTACAAAATACTCTTTCTGAAATTCAGCTTTTACGTACTTAAAGTGGGACTTGTGTGGGTTTAGTTTAATAATAATAAAATACATTTTTAAAATTGATTTTTATTTATTACAGCTTTTGAGATGGAATTTAAAATTACTAGAGGCCTATTTATATAAAAAATTAGGAGAGTTATTTTATTGGTACCCACAATGTTTTTCCAAATGCTTAAATTTTTCCTGTTGTTGAGTCAATGAGTGAAACAAATAATTATAATCAATATTAATCCTAGATTGGCAAATATAGAGATTCAGCCAGAATTTTTTTTAGTACAGTAGTCCGTCCTTTAGGTTGTAATGAAAAATAAAAATTTTCTATCAAAAATGTATTTTATTATTATGAAACTAAACTAATGCAAGTCGTACTGTGAGTATTGGAGCGCTGTATCTCGAAAAATTATTTCGAATTACTTGAAAGTTTCGATTAAACATAACAGTTAATAGTTTGCATACTTATATAGTAAATTACATTAAACTATACAAAACATTTAAGTATCACGAATTTAGATTTATAACCCTTTTGATTTATGGGTTACAGTATAAATTAATTTGTTAACGAAAATCAATTTTTTTGCAAGATTATTTTTAGAATGACTAGAAAAGATATTTATACATCCTTCTGTACATTTTCTTATAAGATACATTATTGTGTGCTCAAATCTCTGGTTTAATTGAATTATATTTATTTTGTTTATTAGATGTATAAAGAAATTTTATGTTTTTATGAGGCCCATGACAGTTTTTTACATTGGAATTAATTTTCATGGTTTAATTGTGTTAATATATATGTTTACTTTGGTAAGAATATTAAAATTTTAGTTTTAAGCTAACTAATATCTATTTATTTGTTCAGAATTACTTTAAAAATGGTTCAACTTTAACACTTACATCATTGAAATTATTAATTACGGCTTCATTAGCGTTGTTAAATTTGTTTCTTTTCTGTTATTTTTATGGTTATCTTGAAAATCAGGTAAATAATAATGCAAGTTAATCTTAAAATATTTGGTCTTCTTTCCTTAACAGCTTTGCCCGATGGCATCGGTCCATCGCACCTAACCCTTCCAAAATTCCGTGGTTCCATCAACTAGATCTTACTCGCAATATCATTTCTAGCTTTTCACGACTCAGACTGGGTCATAATCTTTTACCAGCATTCGCTTACAAATTAACCTTAAACTCTGTTCCCTTTTGCCATTTACATGAGGATGAAGTCCTTGGAGAATTTACTCACTATTTATTGAATTGCTCTTTCTTGGCGTCTAACAGGTGCCTGCTTATAAAATGTTTAGAATCCAATGGAATTTTCAATATTGTCCCCTCTGTTATACTAAATTCCCATTCTATTCCCGTCATTACTGCCATCATTTCTTTTATATTGAGGGCTGGTTGTACTATTTAACAACTTTTTTTATATATTATAATTTAATACATTGTACATACTTTAATTTTGTTATACTAATTAGCACTAATTATTCCTATAATTCATAACCCTAATTAATACTATATTTAACTATATATTTAATACTAAATCTTATGTAATTGTCGAGCTATATATTTTTTCATAATAAAAGCTAATTAAAAAAAGATCTTTAAATATTGAATAAAAATTGTCAATGTTTTTGATTTTATATGATCTTAAATTAAATAATATGAATTTCATTTGATAATGAAATTATTATAATGAAATTAATAAAAACATATATTTATTTTTAGATAAGTCTTATAAATTTTGCAATGTATAATTGCAACTGGACAAATAAAAATATAAAATTCAAAAAAATGTTATCAATGGCTATGATTCTCAATAACAGGATTAACCTACGAATGAATGTAACGGTTCAAAAATCAGTGAAACTAGAAATGTTTACAAGTGTTAGTATAAAAATATCTTGATAAAAAAAAACTTATAATAGGAATCAATGTGAAAGAAAAGAGAATTTGAATTGAATTTTTTTAATTTAATAAAAATCCATTCGTGTTATTAATAGGATAATAATTTCGGTTTTACTTTTTTAAAAGCTACAGGCATAAATAATATTAAAACAATTTATTTTCTATGATGAATTGGTAACCAGGGCCATTGCGAAATAATTTTTTAAAGTGGTAACCAAGTCTATTTGACTGACTGATTGACTTTTATATTCGACGGCTGGTCTATAAATAGAGAAAGGCCTATAAGTTGACCTTAATATTAAAAATGTCTCTTTCGTTGACTAAGGTTAATATTAATATTATAATTAATTAACCTAAAATTTATAGTAGGGGAGACTAACAACCTTTAAGGCTCGCTTTTGTTACGCCATTTTTAGAAATTATATTTTATATATGCATTTTTCTCAAATATTTAATTTAGTGTTGATGGTAATAATATAATAGTATTAGACGTTAGGGAAAAATACTCAGGATTGCTTAAAAATAATTTAATGCGCTTACATACAGTATGATACATAGTCAATACATACATTCTTAATAAGTTTTGATCTAATAAATGTGTTTGCATTACTATTTTAAAAATAATTTTTACAGTTTTTCTTATTCATAATAAAATTTTGTACTACTTCCTTTAATCAATTTAATAATGTAATGTAACAGATTAATTTTTAGAAACATTTAAACCAATATTTCGAAAATTATTAATATATTTAATAGTAGACTAGAAACGCGATGCATGTTATGTTATTTTTATCACTAGATAATTTAAAACTTCGCATTCTCTAGATATAAATGTGTTAATAACTACCGAAATACTAATCCAAAATTTGTTATCGACCAGTTATTTTCTTAATTATATAATGATAAAGATAATTAATTAATTAGATACCATTTGGAAAAATAAATTTATATATGTATTATTTTTAATGAAATAAGAGGTTCATGATGAATGAATCCCTTTGTACATTTTGTAATTTTGCTCAAAATAACTGACTTCTATTTACTTAAAGAACTATAAAGGCATTACTGATATGAGCATACAATTTTTTAAATCTTATGATTAAAAGAAACTGTTATTGTTTTCAGATCATTCACGTATCATACTCAATTATTTCACTATTAGTGAAAAAGACTAAAAATTCTAATTAAAAAAGAAAGTCTATTTTAAATAATTCAGAAGAATTATGAATACTTAAAATAAATTGTTATGGATAAAATATTGTTGTAAAATGATAAAACATCAGAATATAATTTTGTTAATCAATTGCATACAAAGTATAAGTCTATTCTGCTAATAACTATGGATCACATTAAATAATAAATAAATATTTATTATTATTATTATTTAAACTGATATTTACCTAGCTTGGGCTCCGACTCAGATCCAAAACCCGTTATCAGGGCAATGCAGTGATTTTTTGGTAAACGTCTACATCAAGCAAAGTTACAGTTTTGTAGGCAAAGCATTAAATAAAATGTTGATTATTTTTAATCTATTAAAATAATAAATAAATTATGTACATAAATATGTACAGGAAAACTAATTAACCAAATAAAGTATATATGCGTGGACTTAAAAAGAAAGCTCACAACTGGTCCTTAATTGACAGATTTCAACAAAATGTTCGAGGTACCTTTTAAATATTTATAGGTGAATCTGGTTAAAATTCTAAAATTTAAGTCAAAAATAGTCGCTGACGGCATNATTTCAACAAAATGTTCGAGGTACCTTTTAAATATTTATAGGTGAATCTGGTTAAAATTCTAAAATTTAAGTCAAAAATAGTCATGCCGTCAGCGACACAAGCCGNTTCTAAAATTTAAGTCAAAAATAGTCGCTGACGGCATTGAGCTTGTTTTTCAAAAGGGGTCAGAATTTTAAATCCCTACGAAGTATTGAAAACAGTTTTTTTATCTTCGCGAATAAATTACCCGGTGTAATGTGACCAAATTCTCTATATAATAAAATATTTTTAAAAATCAAACTTCAAGCAATTTTTTTAGCATTGGTAAATGTTTCAATGTATATAATATGATGAGAGTTGGTAGAACTTTTTTTTACAAATAAGTTCTATATTCTCGATAGAATTTTTTACCGATTTCAGATTTTTCAATATTCCATGTAGCATATATTCTATATAACCATTGTATAGGAATAAAACCAGGAAAAAAATAATTTTCATCTAGTTAAATGGTGCAAGAAATTTAGGTGTTGCGATTTAGCATGCCAAATGTCTAAACCAATCATTTAGGATTTTTTTAAACTTTAGGGCTTGAATTTTTCACTGCAAAGTTAAGTAAAAAAAATTTTATGCGGAGGTAAGTTAGAAATAAATTATGATTTCAATTCAAATCGTCAAAATGACAATACAATTTATACATGTTAAGATCATCTTAAACAGTTATAATTACCATAAAAATATTATAAATTACACATATTAAGTGAAGACTATTTATCGTGAGAGTAAAAAGAAAATGTGACAATAGAACGTTAATAGATATTAGTTGAATAACAATCACTATCACGTTATTGATAATGATATCATCGCTTTTAAGTCAATAAAAAAAAATTGATTTATACATCTTAATCTCTACAAATTATAAATGAGTTAAGAATTCAGCGCAAACACACTATTTAAAAATAAGGGAAAGTTGTAATGATATCATAACATTACTGTTAATATACATATATTAACAGTAAATATATATAGTATGTACATGTATATTAATTTATTTAGTAAAAATAACACTAAAAAAAGTAAACACAACGTAATGTATAAGTAGAATAAAAAAAAAAAGATGTAAAAATTTAGTTTTATGAATGGTTTGAGACTCGCCGAAGTTGGGACTTAGAAGTATTCTGATATCTTATAGTGATTAATATCACTATAATAAAAAACGCTTCGATACGAATCTGTAAAACTTCATAATCTCTACATATATAACCAATCAATTTCTATGATTTAAAATTGCACTTAAATATTAAATAAATGTTATATTATTTGCTTATATGAAAATAGTTATTTTTTTAAATTTAAATTAATTTCTTTTAAAATGTGATCTTTTGACGTATTATTGAAAGATATGGGTCTAGTGAGAGCGGAGAAAAAGTGGCAATAGGCACAAAACAAAAAAAATATGTCATAGTAAAATTCTCAGCTTTGCATCGAAGATAAAAGAGTATATAATTGATTAATTTTGGATTTTTTTTTTTATTAAATTAATTAATATTGCGTTGTTTTTAATAAAAATAAACACTTAATGATTTTCATACCTGAAAATAAGGAAATACGAATCTTTCCAAAATCTATAGATCTATTATCGACCGAATTTTATAAAAATTCAGTGTTTTTTTCTCAAAGTTAATTGTTTAATCCAATCGATGATAAAATTCTGTTTTACTCGTTATAATTATCTGAGATTTAAATTATGTTTATAATAAATTATTTACAAAAACATTTCTACTAATGTAATAACTGGTATAGTGTAGATGTCACTAGTAATTATACATATAGAATAGTTTGATTGTTATTTGATAAAAAACAATATATTCGGTATGCAATCCAAATGAATAAGTTATAACAAAAAAAAAAAAAAAATGAATCATCAAAGTCCTGTATGATGTTACCGGTATCAGGGAGCAATGAAGTTGGACGAAACGGAATTTAAAATGACCAGTGCACCCGGACACCGTGTAATACGTTATGCAATTGTGCGCACATTGGATACAAAGAACCCGGACACGCGGGATTTCCTGCTGGTGCGCGTGTCCTTCGTCCTTCGTAGATTCTATTACATATTACGGCTACACGCACTACCATTGGACTGTGGAGAGCGAGAAAAAAAACCGTCGTACGTTTTGTAGTGTTACGTGATGCGGTAGACGTTTACCCGACACGCACCCACGCTCTCCCCACGGCCCTGAATCATCGCGGTGAGCCATAGCCGAACCGGAGAAGTTCCCTTTCAAGGTGACTTGGACAGTAGAAAGTTTCCACGGTGACAGGTGTGTGCGCGTCTGGTGGGGACCGGCGAATCCCGGTGGACGGGCGCAGCGTGGCTAGCGCGCTGACTGCCAGGTGGGAGGGCGGTAGAACGGAAGCGGGCCTAAAGAGAAAGTCGGTCGTTGCCGGCTAGACTTCTATCACCGTCCGATTGACACTGGGTCAGTATTATACTTGTGTCTTCTGCGCGAACATCGGCCAGTGAACGATCAAACACACAAACGCGAACATTTTAACGTTTTTTTTTTTTAACGTTCGCGGTGCTTATAGTGTCGTAATTTTTTCTAAACTAGTGTCGTACAAGGATTTTACATGATCGTCAATTTGGGTGAGTAAAAAATGTATTAATTTTTATAAGGCAATTTTTATTTTATCATTTTTACTTTTCTTTTAAAAATTTGAATCTAAAAAACTACAAATATCGCAAATGAAATTTTTTCTTTTATAAATCAATTTTATTATAAGTAAAACCAAATCGACATACAACAAAGTCGATATAAATGACAAATTAGTATTGAAATTACATTAGTACAGTTTTTAAATTATTCTTCTCGAGCGGTTTTTCGCAATGAAATCATAAAACGTTAAAAACGTTGTAGCGATTACGTTAAAGTAATCCGATAAAAAATAAATCCAGTCGTGTTAGTCGTTTGCATTCATAGGTCGGTTACTGTTATGTACTTGACAAATGTTTTTGAAAGTAAAAATAATCCATCAATGGCTCGTACATAAAAAGAGTTCACTTGCACTTACGCGAGTGTATTCGAGATAACCGCCAAGTACCCCTAATTTATATGCACCCTCTTGGTCACGGCTCGTGTGTCTGTTGTAATCCGGTTTGTAAATTATACTTTCTTCGGAACAATAGGTTCTATGGAGAAAGGATAAACGTACGGCAGTCGTCCAAGGTCGAGTACTTGGAAAACGTATTTAAATATATGTTTATTATACGGTTTGAAAAAGAGACACGACGGGTATGATGTGTCTTTTTTACTAATTCTACGCTACGTCAGTTATGTATTACACATAATAATTTCTATGTGTACCAATTATGAACAAAAAATAGTCCAATAACAATTAATTTTTGATTATTTGTAATCTTATGTCGCTATTATCTTCAAAAACAAACTTGCTTTCCGAGTCGTTCAACCGTTTAGCCGCAGAAAGTAACCTTGACGCGATCATTCTTTTTGCTTGTCACGATGTCTCATGATTTACGGTTCGTAACAGATCAAAACCAATTGATTTAGTTATCAAGTGTCATATAAATTTGACCATTAAAAATTTTTCAAATTTGAAGTCGTAGATAATAATCCAGGGAAATCGGTCATCAGATTAAATACTCTTTAGTAAAAATAGAAATTTCTTACAGTATACTGTGTAATTTTTTTCGTTAAAAATCATTTTTATCGAAATTATTGCTAGCTAATACAACGACGACCACTCGTAATCTTCTTATATCTCACTAACTTTAATAGCAAGAGACAATTATACTAACGTTGATTGTTTGCCACTAATACTATTTCCGAGCGCAAATATCGTTTCTCTTTACAGTTTAATAAGAATGGCATTCAGCGAAAGTAATATTATTATAAATATTGCAGCAAGACTTCTATGGACAATTTCTCATCATTATTTAATATGTACCTCTTCATTCACTACACAGTGTATGGGGGTTAACGCATATGAGTTTTATTCATTTAGTGATTTTAATTTTCAAAAAATTATGCATATTGTTCAATTGTGATGTCTAAACACTAAAACCAGATGTTCAATTAGCATTACGGACGATTTTTACTTTGGCAAATTTCAACCTGATTTTATATGAACAATCCTAAAGAAGTTCTAATGATTTTATTGAGTTTATTGATACGGTTGTAGAGATAGAGGCGCAAAGATGTGGTGATCGACTATCGTGTGTATGCTTGCCAGTGGGTCACGGCCGAATCTGCTAGCGGCGAATAGACTCGCGAGAAGATATTAGGGAACAACGTCCGCAAACCAGTTTTCTCATCCGACAAGTTTCCTCCTATGTACGAACATCGTGAAAGAATTAGGTTAATGAAAGTCCAATCCTAGTCACCGCCAACCGTTTGGCGTCTAGCAAAACATACAACAAACAAGAGTCGCAAAGGTGTGAAATTTGGCATACATTTTTACACATACTCGACTAATTGGCTGACACTGAGATGTGTTGTTTGTAGGCAATGTGATAGGAAAAACTTTTGTTTTCTTAATTTTCAATAATAATTGTTTTAGTGTATTATTTTACGGTATCATGGACTGCACCGTTAATTATTTATTTAGAAAATGATTAAAATAAAAAAATAATTGCTTAAATTTCTTGTAATACAAGAAAACTTTGGAAACGCTAATTGCTACGATTTCCAACAATTTTCCTGCTTAACGATTTGATACGAATTGCGCATCATGAAAAATAATTTTAGATTAACGTTTAACATTCTTCACAACATTTCATATATATTTTATTATTATCTTTATAAAAGACACTCATCTCACGACATGCAAGTAGCAATCTGAAATTCTGGAGACTTGAAAGGTAGACTAGAACTATTGTTACAGTACTCAATCACTATTACGGTACCCCAAATATTTACTTTCGCTCTTCATCATAGCCCATTCAAGGTCGCAAATATCATGCAATTGATTTTCGATCGCTATTATAATATACCCTATCCTCACGCCGTCAATACGGTTATCAACGTTGCTAAATTGGTCCGTTGAAAACGCAATCATGTACAAGTTTTTTAATGAAAACGGTCGAGAAAAAAATTGACAATCCATCGCGGTAGTCAAAGTAAATAACATGACGTACGGCGTATTCGCACACACTCGTACACAAACACAGCTATTCACAAAACGTCTGAACTTTCTCTGCGTCCAATCTTGACACACATATCGCGTGTGTTATATGCTCTTAGAGTAATAAAAATATTCGTTGTTGTAAAAATGGTACGTCGGACATCAACAACACTTTCTATAATATTAATGTATTATTTTGACTGTTTGCAACAATAGCCCGAAACAAAAATGAAAAAAAAAACGTTTCTTTGCCAAAGTACGTCTTGAACTTGTATCACGGTCGTATGCAGCCCTGGGCAATCACAGTGCGTTTCATTCCGGTACATTCCAAAGAAAAGGAAGTATTTGGATTTACGTTGAAATTTGTTTAGAATCGGAACTATAAATGTGGGTTCTGAATGATTCTGCTATTACATGTGGATTTTGAAAATATAAGTATGTCGTTCAAAAATGAGTAGGCATACGTAGGACGTTATGACGTTTTTTAAGGAGAGTTTGATTTATCATAAGAAATTGTCATATTGCGGTTTATAATATAATTACTAATTCCCGCCAACTCTTTTTTAAATATAGGTTTTAAAACTATTTGCGGTGACTCACTTAATAAGTTTGAATCTGAACATTTTATGAGTTAATAATAACAATACTTTGTTATCATAACATTAAGAAAAAAACAGTTTAACCATTACAAGCATGAATAGCTAAATTTGCTGTTCAAACCGCTATTGCGGTAAATCAATTTTGTATTGATCATGTTGTATATCTATTGTAAAAAAAAAAATCTGTAAGTACTACTTAAATCGTCAGGCCTATTAATACCATTTTATAAAGAAAGCGAATGTGATTTACATACAAGAGGCTATTGTCGTTTTTTGATTGACTTTCGTTGTCACTATTGTCATTAAACGAATTCACAACAGTCACCACATATTACACGTGAAATCTTATATTAACAAACAAGCACACAGCAGACCATCATTTTAATCGAGTATTTTTTCTCCAGAAATGTTGACAAGTCAATTAAGAGCATTATTTTTGTTATCTGGTTTTTCCACTGCTATTCGAAAATTGAGACTATACAGCCGTTATTGCTTACGATCTGACCACAAACAGACACAATAGTATCATATCAGGTTTAGTTAAGTATGTAATGTAGAAGAAATTCAACCCAGCCGTTTAGATATCATTTTCTTGAATTTCACCTACCTAGTCGATGCACGCAAGGGTAAATTGAAACCTGTAGAAACAACACGTTAAGCCACTTTAATATTATAAAACTATTTATTTTTTAATGAATTTGAAATGTTGGTGAAGAAAAACCACCATCAAGAATTCATCTGCCGGATAGAGTTATTCCGACGACGTCGGTTGAACAGTAATAAATAATAATTATTTTACCGCATACGGTGCAATGTTTACTCAACGAAACGAAAACATTACTTTGGCTGCGGTTGTGGACGTCCTTCCATTGTCCTGGGCCGCCGGTGCTCATTGTGCATAATCTACGCGTTGTGTGTATCGTTATTATTGTAATTATCATCGCTAAATTAGTTTTGAAAAGAAAAATAACGAAAGAGAAAGCGAATGTTTTTTAATTCCGAGCACATACGTCCTCAGTTACGAAATCGAGTATACCCCCTGCTACCATCCCCCGAGGTTTTCTCCCAGAACATTTATAATACGTTGAAATCGCGCGATTACCAATTGATCATTCGAATTTCCTGTCATGTACACAAGAGAGCAACAATAATAATCGCATTAACAATTGGAAAGTGAATTAGCGGAACATGTCCATACAGATTATAACCAAAAAAAAATTCATCCTTCCATTTTTACGATTACCAGTCAACTCTATAATGTGGGTGTTATAGTAAAAGACCGTTTGACATATCATTTCGAGTATCTAGATTGACTTTCAGCGTACTGGTGACTTTCCGTCATTTAAATGTAAGCAGCAGCTCGTATAAAACACGTGTTAAATGTTGTGGACTGTAACACGTTGAAGAATTATGGTTTCGTTAGTCCGATGGATTAAACCAATTAGCATACTTCATTTTGAGATTTTTTGAATTTCTGTTAAATTAATGCAAAGTATTTTATAATTCTAAACTATTTTGTTACGATACATATCATGTGTAATCGGTTATTAACGAAGTGTTTGATTTCACACCTGTCCTGCATGTCATTGCATCAATCACGTCCATACGATTAGAAAGTAAATCCAGAAGTGCTCATATTTTCGCAGCGTCGGCCACCGGATTTATCTGTGTTCGACTTGCTGAATACCTTATACATGAATGTCTGCGAGTCCGTTCACACTCTCGAGAAAGCGCTATTTGGTGTATGGCCACGTGAGATCATTGGAGGCCAATGTCGATGCTAAAGAGCAACAGACTCAAACCACTAAACGACCGAATCGTGATGACTGATTGGTAGCCGGGTGGTCAAAAATGTGCCGGGTGGCTAACGGTAAACTTATACCCGTGATTAGGGCACATAAACTAAATGTTAAGTAAATATATCTACTACCTTGGTCAAGACTGTACTGTTTTAACTCTAATATATAATAGCTCCATTACAATCCTGTTTTAAAGACATTAATAAAAACGCTACTTAACCGACCGAATGTTAGAAGAATTGTACGGAATATTTTATTTTACACCGTCTAATTTACTCCTCATGAACTGGTGTTGATAACTACACATTATACTAATGGAATGTTTTTACTGTGGTTATTATGTGCTGTATTGTGTGGTATTCATCAGTATTATGTTTTCCATGGAAGCATTGGTAATCTGACAGAAGAGAGCATAGATACTATATTTAAAAACGTTTATAAATCATTTATAATTATATTTAATAGCAGATATAAGCAGGTGTCCAGTAAATGATGTACACGTATGTTTTTAACTGTATGTGAGAACTAGTTTCGATGAATCTAACGCTAAGGTGGGAAAACAATAAGTAAGATGCAATAAGATGTTTTTAGTGAAATAATTATCATTAGTAAATAAATGTTGAGAATATTTTAAACTACTTTTGAACAACTGAATGCTTATCATTTTTATATAGTATACGTTGAAATCGAGTGTAATTTTGTATCATACATTTAATTTTGTTGTGTTTGTGTATTAGATCTTCTAATTATATATATTTGAGAATACTGTAATTAAATCAGAGAAAATTTTAATCAGTAGAGTTTAACTCATTAAAGATTTTGAACTACTTTTTGCTAACGACTGTGATAGTTTCAGTAAAAACAATTATTTGAACACGAAGCCCATTGTTTTCGTTTAAAACGTTTGAGGCGGACAATGGATTAAGTTCATGAAGCTAATTATTCTTCATATATATTGCAAACTTTTTCTCGTTTGGTTGACAACCTCATTCAGTAGATTGTAATCTGTTTGTTATTATTGTGAGAGGTTCTATGAGTCAGAGTAAGAGTTTATTGCAATCTAAACGTCCAAACTAAACATACCAAACGTGTAGTTTCTTATGATTGAAAATGATTTATTGTTATTTGATCAATACAGCTCAAAGTAATTTGACGTGATACGACAAATTCGGAGTCATAATAATTACAATGTCTAAAGGCAAGTCTTCTTGTGAGGGATATAAATATGTGTATGCTCGAATCCGACCTTGGAGGGGTGCGGCAGTATAAATATTTACATCCTACTGGCCTACTTAAAAGCTCGCGTGGTTCATTGATCTTGATCTTGGAGAACGGGTACTTTTTTACATAGACGTATTATTGAAAGTAATTTGATATATATATATATATATTATAGATGTGATTAAAACCGGTTCTATAGTTCTTTCGTTTTATTATTTTTGATATTTTCTCCCGCTTTAACTATTGTTTGGACATTAATGGCTTTATTGATGTTTTGCTCACAACATTGACACGCAAGTCTGAATACATATGATATGTGATATTTGGCTATTCGTGTCTGTAAAATTACTATTAATAGGCTCACAGACGTACTTCAACGATGTAGTCGAAAACTAACAAATAGGTGTAACGGAGGGCGGATCAATAGGCCCTCGGGCACCGTTCTGGTCACGATTTCGACTATAATATAGTCGCGTATATTATCGGGCTGTTAAAACAGGAGTTTGTAGCCATAGGCTAATTATATAGTTCGGTAGACTAACATTGTTGTTTGTAACAATGTTACGTTGTTTCATTCTTTAATTTTTTTAGGAAATGACATTAGTAGTTTGTTATGTTGAATTTTTTCGCGGACAATACTGTTTTCTTATTAGTCACATCTAACATTTTAAATGGTCTGTGTAAACAGTCAGCAAAAGAAATTCCACACAATTATTATGCTTTATAGTACGACAAACATTTCCCTTAATTGGCGAGCTCTAACAGAAATATTTGAAAGTGCAATTGCAACGAGTCGCATACGCCGATTCGGTAGCTATGGCTGTAGGTGTACAGTCGAAAGACAGTGAAAGCGGTTTACTTTCCCGGAAAGACTGTAGCGCCTCTAGCGGCTAAATGTTCTAAATACATATAAATATAATAATTTTCTAAACAAGAATGATCGGCTGGTCGGCAACATGTCCAATTCCGATTCCTTTCCGGATTTTGTGACGACCTTCACCCCGAAATCTCTACTGCGAGATCCGGTCACCGAAATAACATCCACATATACATACCTACGTGCATGTCACACTATACAATACAAATTTAATTATGTGTATTTTCTCATGCAAAAAATAATAATATGAAGTTTATGTCATTTACAGATCACTCAGTAGGTACGATGAAGAGATATCTAAGGCATCAAGTATACATTGTGTTCTACGGAGCTTTGTTGTTTTTGCATGTGAGTTTGTACCAATACAATATTTGTTTTCTGATATTTAAATAAGTACAAGCATTTAAAAACAATAATAATAATTCATATTGCGATTCATAAATACAAATTTATTACTTTTAATTTTTATTTTACATCCTCATTTGTAAAATTGCTCATGACAGTGGACTGAAAAGTATTATTTTAATAAAAACGTATATATTTACAAAATAGAGATTAATTAATAATTATTTACATAAAAATTAAATTTATCTAAGATAATTTTAATTATCTATGGAAAAAAACAAACAAATATTTTGTATTGATAAAGAAATATAACTAAGATTTTCATGCTATTATACTTAAGACTGTATTATTAGAAGAATGTGGGGTTACGCTTCGAAATGGGTTGCAAAACATATTGAGTGATTTTTAATGTTATCTGTAATGATTTTTTGTGTTGTTGTGACTTTAAAATATAATAGAGGAAAATATATTTTAAATAATTTTTTTTTCGGAAATTTTGCATTTTTTTTTAAAGGTTCCTTACTTATCTTAATGTTAATTAAATTAATTTATTTAATATGATATTGATTATTCTTAGGTGACATTCAAGTTTTACTTAGTTAAAAATAAATTAACGCAGTTCAAAATGCTTTTTACTTTAGTTTACTAGTTATTTTGTAATGGTTTTAGTTAATAATTAACATACTACATCATGATAAAGAATGATTACTTTATTAAATGTTATTTTTTATGTTACAGAGTACAACTGGTGAAGGTTCTATTGGATCTGAAAACAATAATGCTGCCGCTTTGCCTCTTGAGCATAGATCCGGCGGTGGTTACGACGTAGGTTTACCTTTACCTTCTGGTCCACACGATGAAGCATGGCCATTGCAAGCCACGCCAGATACCGCAAAAATCAAGCATCTCCAAGTTCAATGCGAAAAGACTCACATGAGAGTTCACATCGAATTTGATAGACCATTCTATGGCGTTATTTTCTCTAAAGGTAAATATTGTTTTGTTCTTTTTTCATTAAAACGATTCAGTAATTGTTATTGAAAGCTACCAATGGTCAACATATTTTTAGAAAATTTTTTTTGTATCCATAATTCTAAGATTATGATATTTATATGTTCGATATTTTAAAGCGTCAATTTACCAGGATAAGACCATTTTGTTCATGACGAATGAGTGGCAATTAACATTTAAATTCGGAATTATTGCAAACAGGTGCGTTAAAATGCATACCAGCGGGTATGAGTTATTATAATAATGTTCGTCTAATGTAGTTAAAAACAATACGTGAAAAATTATAGTACAAAACAAACTTATCAACATATTTTCATTTTGCTTTTGTTATTCGACCGACAGTCGCGTCACATGACCCGGTATCATACCTGAGTGGTGCCCCTATATATAGCAGTTGACCCACTAAACGGCCACCGTACGTATGTTTTAATTAATATTTATGAAACTCTCTCACGTGTAGTGCACTATTTTATTTTATGAGATTTTCTAATTGACGGCTACCGCTTTTAAATAATAATTGCAGTGCATAATCTTTACTGGATCGATTCAGACCAACTAACAAAATAATGAGAGATAGTTGCAGTGGAAAAAAAATTGATAAAAACAATTCCAGAGAACTTTTCGCTTTTTCAAAATAAAAAGTTTTCTCTATATTATTTTAGTTGAATAAAAACAGTTGGTTGACTTAAATTGGGCAAAACATCTTACCGGTTTTATTTTTTTAACAGCTCTTAGCTACAACACCTAATCATTATCAGATCAATACATCAATAACCAGTTTAGGGTCATGTGATGGTTTATTCTTAGCTGAAAAAAGCGTATTAATTTATACACATGCTTCTAAATACTGTTTTAAGCGCAATGGCATTCCTCATTCTATTAAGTTGTTATTTGACTTTTAAAAATTACATTCAGATTTATGAATTCCATAAGTTTAACTAAAAAAGTACACCCATAAATTAATTGTGCTCATACAGCACTCTTTTTACTTTAAATGTAAAGGATTAATTAATATTCATCATTTTTATTTTTATTTTTTTTCAGGTTTCTACAGTGATCCTCATTGTGTTCATGTAAAACCTGGAACCGGACACCTAAGCGCTACATTCGAAATTCTTCTTAACAGTTGCGGTATGACATCGTCTGGAGGTAACGGAGCAGTTGCTGGCTATGGGGGTACACCCAGTGGTAGTTATGTAGAAAACACCATTATCATCCAATATGATCCATATGTACAAGAAGTTTGGGATCAAGCTAGAAAACTTCGTTGCACCTGGTACGATTTCTATGAGAAATCTGTTACCTTCCAACCTTTCCAAGTAGATATGTTAAACGCAGTCACAGCTAACTTTTTGGGAGACAACCTGCAGTGTTGGATGCAAATTCAAGTAGGCAAAGGTCCTTGGGCTTCTGAAGTATCCGGAATTGTGAAAATCGGTCAAACTATGACTATGGTGTTAGCCATTAAAGACGAAGAAAACAAATTTGATATGTTGGTCAGAAACTGTGTAGCTCACGACGGAAAACGTACACCCATTCAATTGGTCGACCATAATGGTTGTGTTATCAGACCTAAGATCATGCAAAAGTTCCAAAAAATAAAGAACTTTGGACCATCTGCATCTGTAGTATCGTTCACCTACTTCCAAGCTTTCAAGTTCCCAGACTCTATGAACGTACACTTCCAATGTGTTATCCAAGTATGTCGCCATCACTGCCCTGAACCAAAATGCCCAGGTGATTACGCTTTACCCCCTGCTCCTTCCGACTTAGGCGGTGATTATAACCAAAACTCCGTGCATCCTAATGAATACGGTCCATCCCCTGCTGATTATCCTGCTTATCCTGATCCGAGAAATCCATCAGGACCCGCAGGCGCTTATTCCGAATTGAAACCCGAAGTAGTACTGCCAGCTTCAGCTTCATCAACATCGGCTCCACAAAAGTCTGTACCACAAAACGACGAACTAAACTTACCACCACCACCTTTACCAGGCCACGGATCGTCTTACGCTACAGTTAAGCGACAAGGTACAGTTGGTCCCGATGAAGAACAACACATAAACTTAATTTCTTTAGGAGGTCGACCACGATCCGTTGATATGTCCACTGACAGTAAACAACGTCGCCGCCGTTCTACCAGCAATCCTGAATTAGACGTGAACACTAGCCGCATCATTCAAGTAGTTTCCCCAGGAGATGTCAATTTTGCTCTGAACGTACCTGCCACCAATGGTAGTTCTAATTCCGATACCGTTGTGATGTCTACAAGAGCCGCTTTAGCAGCCGACAATGTATGCATTAGCGTACCTAGTTTCGTTGCTGGATTAGCCATGCTCTTATCAGTATTGGTTGTCGCTTGTTTAGTCGTTACCTTCTTGTTCTTGAGAGTCCGTTCAATGAACAATGCTAAGTTGTGCGCACCAGTGCAAGCTCCATACATACACGGAGCAGCGTTCGAAGCTGCCGAATTTGTCAAAATGGCAAGCTCATAAAGCCCCTATATTTAATATATCCCTGCAAGTCCACAACTTGCCCCAACTTCCTTATGACATTTTATTGTGAACTTAAGTATTTTAACGTGTGTGTCGCTGTTATTAAAATATTTACCACTTCGCCGAATGGCACAAGTTGATATATTTTGTTTTATTAAATATTGAATTCGTTAAACAATGCCATTCAGTCAATTTATAAGGTTTACTTGTTTTAAGTAGATCACACGTTAAAACTGAGTGATTCTAGTTTACTTATTATTTTTCCATCAAAACGATATTTTGTATTTATAATCTAAATTATTATTTATTAATTTTTTTTTTTGTATAATTTTAAGCACAACACTACTGTAGTAAACAGTATTAATAGACGTACGGGCAATGCTCGAATTAAGATTTTTTTTGTTGGTGATTATTTCACGACTGCAATATTAAAAACAATCATATAAGATAACGCCAAAAGTATATTTATTGTGAACTGTTTCATAAAAGTTGATAGTAATAACACTGTAATTGCAGTATCGCTGAAATGCTAATTATTCTTTACAATTTATTATCATCGTGTACATTGTTTTATCATTGTAAATATTATATATTATAAATAACATATTATTAGTCCTATTCTTACAAAAAATTAACTTTTAGAAAAATATGATACAGTTTTAGTACTGCATCTTTAATTATAGTATTTTTTGCATGTACGAGAATTATAAGTCTAAATCAATATACAGAGTAAACTCGTTTACTCGGTGTCATTATTGGCCAAAGATATATAAACCATTGTAATCAAATTGGTCGACTATTATAACCTATTTCGTAATTTTCATTTTTTTACTAAATATCAATATGTATATCGATGTAGACACATGATACGTTTATATTTATCAAATTACGTTATTATTTGGTTTGTTAATGTAATTAAAACCAAAATAAAATACATTTTTTACATAATTATTCATCGACCTTTAAAAATATCTTTGTGCTCAATCCTAAATATTTTAATGTATTATATTTATTAAATTGTATTAAATAAATAATAAATCGTGTAAGTTTACTGAATTATTTACTATTATTTGTCATTATTTAAATAATGAAACCTAAGCTTTTTGAAGTTTTCTTTCAAAATGTAATGTTATGAATATAATGAGTATAATATGAATTGCATAATGAAAAAATAATTGAAATCCATTTTTATTTTATGGTTTGATTCAATAACTTATTAGCAATAGTATTAAGTAATGAATTTTTTTTCATTTTTTTTTACTTTTGTTTAAAAGAATAGGAATTAATAACATAATTTGTTATCCTGAAAATTGTACAGAAATGGACAATTATCGTTTTTCCCTGTACCCTTTATTTGTTGATTTGAAATGATTAATAAAAACGTTATAAATGCTTTAAGTTTCGAGCCCTAGTAGGGATTTTGATTTATACTTATTTAAAATGATAATATTATAACAATTACCAAATTTATACTTGAAGCTTATTATCGTTTCTCTATTATTGTTGTGATTGTAATCTGTTAAATGATCTTCGTAAAAATTTGATGGTTAAGTAGCATAAATAAAGCGCCTGATATTACAAATTAATTATTATTTATTAATAGGATAATGAATCTCTCAAGATTCATTCAGTATTAAAATAAAAAAAGGAATTTGATTGTTAATATAATATATTTCAAATTTCTTCAATACAAATAATTTATTACTGAGATCAATAAAAATGATAAGACAGTAATTCTTAATTACTTAGAAACTTATTAACTTCAATTTGGCAAAAAGACTGGTTTAAAGTAAATGAATAATTATTTTATAGCACTAGTCTAATATTTAACAATTCATTAAATAAGTTTGTTGTTATAATGAAATTATAAATACTTTATTACCATGATAATAGATATGTTGGGATTTTTATTTCTAATATTTAGGACATTTTTCTTACTTTACTTAAACAAATTTGTTTAACATAAATATGTTGTTATACAAGCCTGCTGTTCTAAGTATTATTTTATTTACATTTCTTTAGAAGAGAATACAATAAAACCATATATTAATTAATCTATCATTTAAAAATCACAATAAAACCAGTACACACATATTATATAAAATGTGCAAGTTATTCTACATAAAGAACATCTTAACTGTATTAAATATTTTTGTAAAAGAAAAAAAATAAATTAGATTATATTTACTTAAAATAATATTTTAATAATTAAGAAGTAAAACAACAATAATCTAACAACTTTTTATATTAAATAAATACAACTAAAAACACATTTGTAGTCTAAGTAAATTATATTGATGGACAAATGATAGTAAATTCTAACATAAATAAATGTACAATTAGATGATGGAATGCTAGTTCAAATGTAGTTCATAATGTATAATTATGCTAATTATACATAACACTTATAATTTATAATTTTGTGATACTTAGTTTTCTTTTTTCATTCTATTGCTGGTCATACGATATATTATTGAATCACGTCCAGGATCCATATCAGCAATGCTTACTATAACACATTAATACAATATTTAAGTATACATCTATTAAGTTTGATTTATATTTAATATTAAAAAATTAATCATGATTAATTTAGTCAATTTGTGTTAATTAATTTTTTGTTCAAACATAATTTTTTTAAAACATCTTCAATAGCCTTATCACATTAATGAAAACAAGCCTAAATTGAGGATTATTGAATTAATTTATTATTTAAATTAGTTTAGACATTACTTACACTAAATTTATAAGAAAATTTATTATTTATAATTTTTTCCTAAATTATTTTTAGTTATCAGCTTAATTAGTAATTTCAGAAAAAATTGTTTCTTTAATAGACTAGCTAATGTTTGTCATCTGATACTTACATGATATTGCCAATAAAGAGAACACGAATATAACAGTAAACCATAATAAGAGATTAAATATAACAGGGTAATCACTAGATGGCGTTGATGCAATGTTTAACAGCTGAAATTAAAATATAACATATTTCATTGAAAAATTTTTAATTAAATTAGAAGATTGTAGTCAAACAATAAAAGCTAGTTTGTGCGTGAAGTTGGTAAAATCAGAATTAAAAATTTAAGAGACCAAACTATAATATATTTTTACTAAATAATAAATGGAAATCAAAATTTAATTACAATAAAATAATAACTAAATTACATATGGAATTAATATTTATAACATTAAATGCAGTGAAAATGTTCAATATTTTTTTTTGAATTGATAAATGATATAAAAAATGACAATTTCATTTGACTACGGTCTTACAAAAACCAACAATAATATGTACATACCTCTTAATTATTACATTTTATATTTAAATTGTAACATCCAAATCACTATTGAAAATAAGATAAAGAGCTTGAGAATTATTTAATAATAATAAAAATTGAAATTTTTTGTTACACGCATAATATACAGTGTTCAGATAGTAAAGAAAAGGGTTTCTATTGTTCTCAAAGTTGTAACAATTTACCTGTTTCCTTACTTTTTGAACATGTGTATAATCAAAGTAACTATGATACAGTTCTTAATAATTAAAAACTTAATAATTTTAGTAGATCATATTAGAAATTTATATTATATAATTTTATCTTAAAATTTCTTAAAATTATCAGCAAATTATTTTAATTAAATATTTAAAATGTTTTAAAAAATGAGAAGTATCTAAATTTAAAAATAATATAAATAATGTAAACGAAACAATTATAACAAATATTAGTGTTAATATAAAATCTATTCACAATTCTAAGCTTTGCTCAGAAGAAACACGTATTTAAAATTATCATTTTTTTTATGAAATTTTTTATAAGAAAATTACATTTTCACTGTTAAGATATTATTATAACCAGCTAATTTTTTTTTTTTTTTTTTAAAGTAGATTAAAATGATTTCTTTTCATATTATTATCGATTGTCTTTTTAAAATCACTTTTTCAATACAATCATTGTATATTTCACTTAAATTGTGGAGTATTTTATTATTTTAAAAGATTTAAATTTTTGATGATGAAAAAGTAGTAGTACTGCTCAAGATAGAATTTTTTTCAGAAACAGGATTATTTTTGATTAAAATTAATTTACAGCCATAAATTTTAAGGGAAAATTATAAAATTACTCATTCTGATATTTATAACTATGTTTATAATAATTACCTTTTCATTATTAGCCTGACGTTTTGATCTATTAATCTTATTGGAATTTGTTGTAGTAGCAGTAACCAATACCTAAAAAATCATTCAAATTATAATATTAGAACATACGAATAACTAAAACACTGCTATAACTAATGAGATTACAACAAATACAAAATATTTTATAAATAGTTTAAATTGTAACTTTACTAGTAGCTAAGTCCAACTAAACTTAAAAATGATTTCAGCTCTAAATAAACCCCATTAATCTAAATTTTGGTACAAAATGTCATTTGGTTGTTCTAAAAAAGTTACAAAAAATCTACATTGATATTAAGTACGCATAACAAGATAATTAAGGTCAAAGGTCATAAAAGAAACATTATGTAAATATTTTGCTTTATTACAGTCATATAAAATAAGGTTTAAGCAAAAATTATAAAAAAAAAAAAAAAAACCCAGCACAGGGGGTCGCGGCACAGTGGTGACGTGGCATAGTTGGATCAAGTATAATGATATCTGACAGTGATTAAAATCACTATCAAAAATAAACGCTTCGATGCAAATCTTTAGATAGTGTTTAATTTTAAAAAAATTGGTGTTTTATTCCAAAAGCTACTTGATCTGCTGGTTCCTTATTAATATCTCGATTAAGATAAAGTATGTCGAATGAAAAAGGGTTTATTAAAAAATATTATTTCTCATAAAAAAATTGTGTGGATCCATAAACTTTTCAATAAGTTATAGCATTATAAAGTTAAATATAATATAAATAATAAAATCGAGAATTTTCACACGAAAATAGCATTCGGTAGCCATTTTCGCCGTGAAGACAAGTCCAGAGGTCAAATTTTTTTTTTTCAAATTAAAGTATATTACATTAGCTTTAATTTAAGATATATATAAAAGTGTCAGACCTTCCGGAACATTTTCAAAAGTTATGGTGAAAAAGTAAATTTTTTGTGAAAAAGTTGTCATTTTAAATCCCCCCCTGTGGGCAGGTTAAGTGTCAGATTTACAAAAAAAATATACCAAATGATAAGTAAAGACATCAAGCATCTATATAAAAAAAAATTATATTGATATGTTCATTTTTGAAAAAGTTAGAGCATTATTAAGTTAAAAATATAAAAAAAAATTATTTTACAAAAATCGTAATTTTTTATTAACTTTGATGTCAACTTTCACCACGAAGACAAGTCCAGAGGTCAAATTTTTTTTTTTCAAATTAAAGTATATTACATAAGCTTTAATTTAAGATATATATAAAAGTGTCAGACCTTCCGGAACATTTTCAAAAGTTAAGTTGAAAAAGTTAATTTTTTGTGAAAAAGTTGTCATTTTAAATCCCCCCCTGTGGGCAGGTTAAGTGTCAGATTTACAAAAAAAATATACCAAATGATAGATAAAGACATCAAGCATCTATATAAAAAAAAATTATATTGATATGTTCATTTTTGAAAAAGTTACGGCAGTTTTTAGTAAAAAAAATTGAAAAAATTTCGAAAATTAGCGATTTTTAAATTTGTAATTTTTTTGGAGGTTTCCCCCATTTACGGGGAACGAGGGAAATTTTTTCAATTTTGAAGGGTAATGTCTTCGACTAGATACGATTTGTGATCTTTTGACGTATCGTTGAAAGAAATCCGTTCGGTGAGAGCTGAGAAAAAGTGGTAACAGACACACAAAAAAAAAAAAAAACACATCATAGTAAAACCAATACCTTCTCAGCTTCGCATCGAAGCTAAAATGTATTGAAAAAAGTATTTTATTATATTTTCTTATCAGAGTTACTTTTATAGCAAAATAAGACCTACAAAGTACATATTTTATTAAAAAAATGAGTTTTTTTTGTTAAATATAAATAGTTTTTGCTTCAGCCTGTTTAAAAAAAATTATAATCTAAATAGTAAATGAAAGAATTATCTACAATTGAAGTGTTAACACTTTTTAGTATACACATGATTGTTTTAACGTAAAACAATATTTAATATTTTCATGACATAATTACATGAATAAAACAATTGTATTAACATAATTAAGCATATAATTCTAAACTGAAGATCTAATTTGACTGAGCTATAGTAAATAGAAACAGCCATAAAACCTGTATTTAATTTAGGCAAGGGAGTAAAAACAAAAATTCACACTTCTCACATAATTCTTTCAAGTTTAAAATCTAGGATTTAAAAACCTAAGATATATATAATATAATTCTAGTAGTCCTAACTTCATTGACTTCTCTAAATACATACCTAAATATGTATCACTTTAATTACCTTATTTTTATATGCTTCACTGAATGATTGGCTTAAACGGTTAAGAGCATCTGATAAAATTTTTTTGGCTTCACCAGCTTCATATGAATTTGAACCATAGAAGTTAATAATATTTTGAAGATTTGGTGCAGTAATCCAGTACAAATCAGGTACTCCATTAGCAAATACTTTGGTTTTAATCTATAAGAATTTCAAAATTCTAAGTAACTCATCAAAATTTCTTATATATTTTACTAACAGTTTTCGCTAAAGCATTTAATTGGTAAATTTCAGCTAAAAATTTTGAATCTTGTTCTATTAGTAAATTTAGATGTTCAGTAACAATTTTTGATTCATCATTTATATTGTTAATTGGTTTGAAAAGATCTGTTCCTTTAACCTGCAATAAAAAAAAAATATTAATTACATATAGTTAAAATAGGTTTATAGATAAAAAAATGTAAAATACACTTACAACTGGTTCGTCACTTAATACAATCTGCATAATAGTTGTTTCTTGAGTTGGATATCTTTTTCTAATATTTGCTTCTAAGGCATAAAATATTTCATCAATAGGTTCATCATTTATCAAATAATGTTGATCTTCTTCTGAAATGGATAGATCTGCATTTTTTACACCTGGTATAACTATATTAACAATAGCTTCTGGAAATCCAAATAGATCAGATACTAGTAAACTGTCCCATGTTTCTTTCTGAAACAACATAGTAAATTATTCTTAATTTGACAATATTTTTCAAAGAATAAAAAAATAAAATTACATATTCAATTCATTACAATGAAATAAAATATCTTATTTAAAAACACACGCACATATTTCCTATTGTCAAGAATAATGATATATATAAATATACAGAGTGATTTACTTATAATGAACCACTTTAATTTTTTTAATTAATAAAGAATAAAAATAACTTTTTTATTTGTTTCTTTTAGTTCAATGTTTTTTCAATTTTTTAATCAAAAAGTTTTTTTTATGTTTATATCTTATATCTCATATGAGTTTCAGCTTTAATTTCTCAAATTACAATTACTTTAATTAACTTATTAAATAAATTTCTATCTTTCAATTAAATAGATAATGATCTAATTAAGAAAATTGTTGTTGAATACAACTATTGGATCAGTAAGTTATTGACATATTTATATCCAGTTGAGAGGAAGAGAACGTCTGGGAAATCTTAAGTTATAAAAATAGTAGCACCCTCTCTCCACTTCCAGTCATTACTTTAAATTGTTAACAACTTCTAAAATGCTGGTTTAAAATTTGTAATCATGATCAGTCATTTTTTAAATTAGATTATTATATATAAGATAATATAGTTAATTATGTGTATTTAAACCATACTTTATTATAATAAAAATAATACATTTTATATTTGTTAGTGCAAAAATAAATAAAAAATTTTGATTTGAATCACTATTCTTGCTAATATGTGATATGATTAAAATAAATCTGTCTGTTAATTAATTTCTTAATTAAAAAAAATTATATTTTATTTAACTTATACACATTCCTTAAATAACATTTTTAATAATTGCATTAAAATAAATTTTTATAAATATAAAATAAATAATAAGAATTACTACTACAAAACTAGAATATTTTTTTCTTTCTATATAGAAACTTAGCAAATTATAAATGTCTTTGAAGAGTTGAAGGGAAATTTGCCACTATATATCATAAATGGCCTTACATTACTACTGTTTTTTTTATAGCTTATAAAATATCAATATGGGTAGGATGCAGCTTTAAACAGTATACAGAGTCATACGTTTATCAAAAACCATTAAAGTTACTCAAAGAATATTGCAAATATTATATAAATATAAGTGTTGAACAAAAAGAAAAGTTTTGAATTTTTAGATACAAATATTTTTTGATTTATCAACTATTAATTACTTTTTAACATTATTCCATTTAACTTATAGGGGTGTTCACTTAATTTTTTTAATTGACAATATACAAACTTATCTAACTTAGAAGATAAGAAAATGATGGGTTAATAACAACATTTGCACCAATACTTCAAAAGTCATTAACATTTTTAGATGATGGCGAGAGGAAGGGAGCTGCCAAGAAATATCTAATAAAAAAGTCATACCCATACTTTTCCCCCAGTTTATATTTTGAAATCGTAATTACATCTGAAGAGTTGTTATCAATCTGTCATTTCCTTAATTAGGTCATTAAAACATTTTTATTATTATATTATTTAAATTATAAAAAAAAATAAAGTTGACATCCCTATATTAAAGAGTAATTAATAGTTGATAAATTAAAAAATACATAAAACTTAAAAAAACCAACATTTTTTTAAATATTGTATTTATTATGTAATTTAATACTTTTATATTTCAAATCATTGGGTGGTTTTTGATAAATATATCACCATGTATTGTAAGGTTGATAATTTTCAGTATAGATAATAACAAAATCTTAAATTTTCAATGAAAAATAATATTTGTATCAAAATTCAACTTATTTAAGGTAAATTTTACTAAGATGAGATAAGAAAACTGTATTTATATATTAAAGTTAACTAATATCATTGATGAGAATTTTTTAGTTAAACATTTTTTTCTCATTATTAAATTGTCATTAATATTAAATATATATAAATATAACTATTGATCTAGCAAATATATTGTGCTATTTTTAAAAATAATTTTTACATTTATGGACTACATTAACAGCATATTTTATTATTACCTGTCTTTAATAAGAGTTTAAAATGAACTGTTTTTTTCAATATTCAAAAAAATAATAATAAAAAATATATGCAAAATGATTTTAATTACTACAATATTTATATAATTTAAATGTAATGCATGAAAAAAAAATTGATGTAAAAATAGAAGTCAATTTAATAATAAAAAATACTTTGTTGAAAGATACTAGAGCCCGCTAAACTCAAGTTGGAACCCCTCATAGTTTTGCTACTTTGGTAATTAATTAAAAATTTTTTTAAAGACTTATAAAATAAACATATATAGTATTAATTTTATCATTATTAAAATATTTATGATTTATACATTAATGTGTAAAACTAAGAAATTGTATTTCTATAATGAATGTTAAAAGCACATCACATTCTATAAATATAACTAAAATAACTGTAACAGGTATTTACATTGGAATAATTTTGTTTTATGACACAGAAATATGCATATATATATACAAATGTATTAAGTAAAATATATATTTTAGATATTTTAACAGTTAAAATATACTAACTTCATTGAAAATTGTAAAACCAAAAATAGAAGAGAATATGTCAGGTAGCTGACTAACTCTTAGAGACACATCTTTAACCAATCGTACAGCTTCTGGGGAATGTAGAGTATATAACTCTCCTACATTACATTTAGCTGGAAAAATTCAACAACAATTAAATACTTATTATAAAAGTAAAATTTTACTTGGGCGTGTCTATCGCACAGTATACTTACCTTGTGCAAATGCACAAACTACTAAAGCTATAAGTAAAGCTATTCTCATTGTAATATTTTTATGTCTATAGAAAATTGTATGTTATGATTAAGCTACAACTGGAAAAAATGTTGAAAATATTAACTAGGAAAATGAAGCTCAGAATTTGACCAAGTCAAAATTTGGTTTAACTTCACTATTTCCATTAGGTAATCTTAGATAGTATCTTAACGATAAGGCCAGCAGTCGTGCCAACGAGAATATAATAACTTCTTGTTATTGACACAACAACACTGAGCGTCAAATTGTAAATTTATTTACATTAATTTGCGGTAGAATATATTTATGACCAGAGATTGGGACTTATAATTAGCACTTATAATCATCAAAATAAGCGCTACAAAACTTCATTATAAGCACTTAAAAACATTGATAAAAGTAAAAAAAGCTATCTCAAAAATGTCCCCTTATAATTAAATACTAAATGTTTGTGTGTATTTTGAAAAACTACGATAAAACCATTAAAAAAAAAAAAAAAATCAGGATTATGTTAAGTAAAATAAAATAAAATTAGTTTAATTAATAACAAAATAATAAATATTTTATAAAAAAACAAGACCTAAACTTAGGTTTTTTGACTTTCTTGAGTTAATGGGGTTTCTGAAAAAAATAATAAAATATATTTTAAATATTTTATTTATTTTATTAAACACGTGTATTTACTTTAAAAAATTCTTACCTTCATTATTAAATTATTAATAATTAAGTGTTTTCTGAGGTTTTCATGTGTAAACAATTTTTCGACAGTATCGTTTCATAATCTGAGAATGTCCGCTCGACATCAATTAATATATAGGCCCATATTTAAAGTAAGATATATCGTGACTGGGATAGTTTTCGGGGAAAGTCATTCACACAATCAAGTATTTTTGATATTTTTTCAATAATTCTCAAGCCAACATTTTTTTCAAAAACTTTATTTAGTTTGGTAATAATTGGTTTGCCGTGAATACCTTTTAATGTAGAAAATTCCTATTGTGTATTTTGAACCACTGGTAGTGAATTACATAGTAAATACATATTTTTTTGGTAGTTTTATTGTGGCTTTGGTAAGGATTTCAAAATTACTTTTTATATAAGCCAAATTGGCTTCTAAACCAGGTTTCATTAATCATATTTTACCTATTTTGATATTTTCTGTGTCGTTGTCATTTAAACAGCTTACAACGTGTTGAATTTCTTTATAATTTTCGGTAAAATCAATTGCAACCTCTATCTAAGACCCCAACAAGTAATAATTGATTCAGAGGGCAATTTTATACCTAGAGCCTTCAATTTAAATAATTCAACACGAGATGGAGCTTTACGAAATATATTTTTCATATTTAATATTATTTCATCAACTGTATTAAATTGTTAGCGAATTTCTTCGGCAATTCTGTATAGACCGTAGACATAAGCGATGTGAATCATTTTTGTTTATAAATTTGTAAGAACAGTACTTGATTTTAACATAGGGAATAATATTTGATAAAAATAAAAAGACGTTACTATATTTTATATCCCCAGGCCATATAAGCTCCATTACTTTTTCAAATAGATTACAAATAGTTGAATGATTGGCCTTTTCTAATTCTTCTAAGTTAAGTAAAAATATACGGCCTGGACAATTTGGTTTAAGAACTCTAACAATGGCATTGGCTATAAGCCGTTTTTCAACATCACAAGTCTTATCAATTGAAAAAGCTTTTTTAACAGAATATTAGCAGAAACCATGGCTTGGCATAAATCCATATTGAAATAATATTTTTTTGTTTATTTGGTATTTTTTATCGTTTTTAATTGAGGCTCTTAGAATTGGAGGAGTAAAAGTAATATTTAGAAAAAAAATGAGATAAGTGCAAACCTAAAAAGTAAAATTACCATTCTTTTGATTGGATTAAAAATCATAGTAGATTATGTAAAATTAAGTTCTATTTATCATCAATTTTCTAAACCAATTGCATTGAAAATATATAGTTCAAACATCGTGGAATGAATGTTTTGTCACTTTGATTTCTTCAGCTCTAGGTGCCTAAATTTCCATTCTAATTTGAGATTAAACAATACTTAAAGTAAAAAGACGTTTTATTGGTTCAGTAAACAAAGTATTCTTATGTACAATTTACTGAATATAATTCAATAATAGTTTATAAATATTATAACAAAATATACAACAGTTAATTTAGTGTAAGCAAATAATTACACAATTTAAACAAGTCATAATATTATAACAACATATTTTATAACATGTTGTTATGATTATCAATTATTACAATTGTTATAACAAATAAAAAAATCGATTCTTTTACAACCAAGTTAAAAGAACAATTAAAATGAACAGTATGATGTTTTGACGGTGAATGTAACTAGATGATAAGGTGAAACTGTCATCTAAGGCGGGTCCAACCGTGTAACCTACAAATAATTTTTAAGTGAAAAGTGTACTTTATTATTAAAGTGTACAAAATATTTTTTCATACTTTCTGTATTATTCAAATCATATTTGTAATGTTCGTCATCGAAAAATACTTCATTAGACGTTACAATTGATGCAATTTCTATGAAATTTAAAATTATAATTAATTTACATTATTAATGTATGTCTATATATATATATATTATATAATATTCTTGAGAATTTTCCAATACCTTTGTGTAAACTGTGGTAAAAGTTCAATATTAAAATAAACATTATCTAGTTAAATTTGAATATATTATAAAGATGATAAAAATTTATCATACTTTAATGTTATATTTCATTCTTTAAGAATATTATATTAAGTTTATAAACAATTTTACAATATTTGATTTTTTCTTTTTAGATATAAATATTTTTATTAATCATTATTGAGTAATAAAATAGTATTATTTTTACATACAATTTTTAGTATTGAATTTGAAAAAAAATTAAATTTGGGATAAAAGTCCAACATTACTCTAAAAGTATATATTTTATACTTATTTTCAAATAAATAAGGTTTATGAAATCTTATCATTTACCAGAATACTGAGGGAAGCATAATCATAAAATTATTATGTTTTACAATAGTGATTTTAATCACAGATTCAACGTCATGATGAAGAGCTTCTTTTCTTAGATTTAAAAACCTTAACAGGATTATGTGACATTTTCTGTTGCTCGTCATTCCAATATAACAACTAGCAATAGTGAAGCAGTGGTGATTAGAAGCCGAAATCATATGCATTTATAAATATCATTTGAACCACTTTGAAGGGTTCCAAATTTTTAAAATTTGTCGTAGAAATATTTTTCATTTTTGGGAGGATAAACTCTGCTAATCCTTTCATAAACTATAACCTTGGTAACAATTTAAAATTTGTACAAAATGTTTACAAAAGTGTCAATAGGGTATATCAATGGAGGGTCTATTCCCTTAATCCCCTTCAATTAGACTACCACTGTTATTATTTAATGTTATTCAATTTTACAAAGTTAAAATTAAAAACGTATAATTCGATTAATGTTTAATATTCTTAATATAAACTAATATTTCTGATTTCACTATACTCAATGAGTTCCGACCCAAAATTTTAAGTTTGGGTTTGCCTTTGATTACAAATTATATAAAATATAAATTTTTGTGGCAGAATTCACCATAAAGTTTTATAATTCCGTCAGTTTCTCCGAGAGCATTCACTGCTACGCATTTGTAACTGCTAAAGTCTTCATAACTGACATTTGATATGTGCAAGATCATTTTACAAATATATCCCGTTCTAATTTTCTCGTCTGTAAATTTTGAGTCTAGAGAAAAAAAATTGCGGTTAAGAACATGAGCTATGATTATTTTTATCTGATTCTTCAATTTACTATGAATAGTCTCATAAAATTTGTATTTAAATTCGAATAAATAATGATAATAAGACAATTTTAAAAATATATGAATTATATAAAATATCTCTTTTTATTCATAATCAAATTTAAGAACTAATACAGTTGATTTATATGATTCTTCGATTTAAAGAAAATGGTGTAGATCGTCAAATAAATAAATATTTTAACATTTAAGGAAGTGTACTCGATGTGAAAGGTTTTGCGCATCTGACATACGTCAAAAACATTCACGTTATTAAAATTCTATTAAATTTATTTATGAGTTTTTATAGAAATGTAACGGTATTTGTTCACCTTAGAGTAAAAATGTATTTATTTATCAATGAAATTTAATACACGAAAAAAAATAAACCTCAGCAGAATAAATTAATGAATTTTCAATATAAACCTTATAGTTTCCTGTTTTTTAACAGTTACTAAAAATATGATTTTTTTAAATAAATATTATTTTTCAACAAATATTCATTATGCATTTCTTAATTTTACTAGGATTATGCAGTGATTACCATAATATTTACAATCGTCATTACATATAAAAATAATGTTTTAAACTAATCTAATTGCTAATTTGATTTAATTAAAACTATAGTTATGATTAAATATTAAGCTATAGAAAAATGGTTTGAAATTTTTATGCTTATTCAAAAAATTCAAGCATACATTGAAATAATTCAATCATTAAATTACCAGAGACTATCATATCTCCATGTTGGTTCATCCAATAATTAATAGAAATCGGATTGGCTTCTGTATGACATTCCAATTTTGTGTGCAGCCCTCTTCGAGTTCCTTCTAACTGATTTGAAATCATCAACATTGGAGGAACTAAAAATAGTTAAAATATCAATCTTATTATTGTTTGTAACAATTTTACCAGAATATTTACTTACAATGCACAGTTACATTGATGCGTTTACTTCTTGCAGGTGGCACTCCATTGGAAGCTACACATAAATAAGTTCCCATGTGTAATCTACTAATTTTTTTTATTGATAGTTGTTCACCATCAACGACGTTGACTGTAAGAATATTAAAATTTTTTTAATTAGTTTTATTATTTTATAATCATTTTTATTTAAATTATTAAAAAATATTATTAATTTTTTATATAAGTGTGTAGATAAAATATCTAAGATTAAAATCCATTAATAATCTTTGTTTATCTTTTATATAAAAATTTTAATTGATTTTACAAAAAAAATAATTCTGCGGACAGAAAAATAATTATTCATTTTGTAACAATGAAAATTTCCGACATAAATCGGACAGCTATTATTGGTAAATTTTTAGGTTAAAGGTCTTATTGTTTTCTACTAAACGTCTATTTTACAATAATGTTTACTTATAAGATGGTTTACTTAACAAGAAGTCAACTCAACAAAAATTAATAAGACATTACGGTTGTTGTCAAAATTACTTAATCATATGAACTAAATGATATTATATTACTCAAATAACTTATTTTTTAATATCAGTTTCTGATTTATTACTAGACTATGGATCAACTACATGTTGTTGTCCAGGTACCAGAAGAAATGTTGAATCTTTCTATTTCTATTACTTTGAGAGCTATTTTTCTAAAAAGAACCCTTTCTTAGAATATAATTCTAATTTTAATATTGTTTCTATGGTCCTCTCTTATACCCGTGCCTAATTGTTTCTAAAAAAAAATTACTAATACCAAAAATTAAATATACCATCAAAGATGTATGAGTAACACGTTGAATGTTTTTCTCTAAGAGATACACATAATTCTGATGATACTTGTCACGTGTTGTTAAAGAACGCGTTCCATAAGGAACGGATTCATGGAATCGATTCATTTTTTAGGGAACGGATGAAGGAAGGAGATCCACTACATATAATAGGAATAGGAACGTAAATTGATTCATTACTTTTAAGAATTGAAATGAATATTATGAATAAAATTTATGTTAATAGTTGCGATGTGACAACAATGTATTTTTTTTTATAAAATGCCAAACTGTACATTGCTTTTGTTACTAAAGACTACACGGCACAAACATACAAATACGTATTAACTTATTTATGTCTATTTAACAAACCTCATAACAATGTTCAACAGCTTAAACAACGGTTACCTACAGTGTTCTTAATGTACCTTACTATAATATATTTAACAACAAACAACCTATCAGTTGGCGAAATCGGATTTCATCTATTTGTAGATCCCGATTAAATTACATATTAAACCACAAACGAGTTTTTTACATTTTAATGAAAAATAAAGATAACATTTATATTTTATCCTATTATTATAATCATTATCCATGAAGTTGTTTGCTAGTTCGTCCGCATTGTAGTATTCGGTGTTGAATTGTTAATCGTAGGATTATGTATTTTTTGTTATTTTAACTGTTGGCACAATAATATCTAATTATTTAATACCATTTAAATCTAATTCAAATGGAATCGAAGAGTATGTGGATGATTCATTAAGCAACGACGCTGACAAAAAAATAATTATTCCATTAAGCTCAAATAGTATAGTTAACTATTATCGCATTGTTTCTTATTTAATAATAATTACAAATCAATTAAATAGTTATTTGTTCAAAAAAACTTATTTTTTATTTAAAATTTTTTTATTAGAAAAATAAGGATATAGTGTTTGAACTTTTTTTTTTACGGTTCAAGTTAGGGAAATTCATCAAAATAGTCGGTTAAAAACATACTTCAGTTTAGAGATGGTAAATATTAATGTATAAAATTACAGAAAATTTTTCTATCTATTGGTTTTATTATTTTTTCAGTATTTAGTTTACATATTCTGTAATCTTTAGTATTTATCTTATTAATATTAATTTAGTATTAAAGTATGGACCGTGATAAAAATGTCTTAAGATAGAAAGCGGCCTGCAGTCTAAATCTGACCTTCAGAGGATAAAAAATTGGCTCACGAAAAATATTTACATCAAAGTTGTTTTAATTTTCTATTTCCATTATTGTCACTGTATTTCTAGACAGACTTGTCCGATTTTTCACGCGATTGATTTACTTATCTGTTACCGGAGAGTACCAAATTTCAAAAAGTTGGCAAACAGTATCTTATTCTTTATTAAAGTACATCTTTTAATATGTTGAGATAAAATTATTTTAATTTTATAAGACGTTTATTTTTAATTCTAATTCATATATTGATTATATTTGATTTAAAAAAATTTTAACATCTGGGCCGCCATACAAATTAATTTCCCTGTTTTAAGGGCCCATAATGCCGGTGCTATGATTTTCACAGCACAAATTTGGCGCGAAGTCTCGACGCTCTATACAACTCAAGCGCCGGTACATTACGCGTTATTGGTGTGTATAATATATAAGAAAACAATCACGTGCATTAATTTCACACTACCTTTTTACACGTTGTACACTACGAAGTCTAGTGACAGTTTCAAAAATGTTGAAAGATAAGAAGGGAGAGTAATTGATCTTTGAAAAACACATTTGTTGTATAATTGCAACAAGGTCTGATATCACTAAACCGAATACGTCAGGCTGTCTTAAATAACAATCAATGGTACACTTAAACGTTATCCCTCCGCCGTCGTCACAGTTACGACTTTCAAGATGATCGTTTTCGTCTTCTAAACCCCTGGTGCCGTTTTTCTAGAATCCCAACAAATCTCTCTTTCTTGCGTCACGGTTGATGAAAGTCATCGCAAAAATAACGTAGTCTTTCTGAATCCCTGGTACCCCGTTTTTCTAAGTATTATTTTTTCTAATAACGTAACGTGTTTTATGAAAAACTTTGGTGATTATGTTGCCTACATAAACACCTTAAACCAGATGTACTTAAATGCTATATGGTTTTTGTCTGTTGTATTCTTATATATATTTTAGAAATATATATTTAGAGTTCACTAAATGTGCAGGTTTTTTTATACTGCACTTCAGCTTTAACAAAAAAGTGCTAAAAATTGCAAATAGTGTTTACATAGTGCAACTGAACATTTAGTCTCCGTTAAATTAGTATATAGTTACCACCATATATTTACATATTTTTAATCTAAGTGCCCTAGTCAATGAGTATTCAACAAAGACTAATATTTTTTCTTTTTCAAACATGAAATTTTATTCAATAAATCCAAAAATTACTGTAGCAAAATTTCAATCATTTTTCCGTACTCAAAAATCACTAAGCTTCAATTTGAATGATTATTAAAAAAATATGAAATCTTCTATTAGTCTCTAGCCTTTTTCAAATTTTTTTATAACAAAAGTTTTGTTTATTTCGCTATAATTTATTTATTGTACATTATAACTATTTAGATTGTACATTTTCAAATAAACGCTATTAAAAACATATTCGCTAACCCTTTTAGAAAGTTACATAATAAAATGTAATTACCAGTAACGCCATTGTAGTTGATATCTTGACCGTCTTCCCTTCGCCACATAATATAAGGTTCAGGATATCCTTTGGACTTACACTGTAATATCAAATCTGATCCTTCTTTAACAACTAGATCTGTACTAGATTCTTCTTCAATTATTTTTGGAGGTGCTGTATAAAATATAAAATACAGTGAGACTTGTAGTGATTTGTTACATCTGTTTTGATTTTGAGTTATACCAACTACTTGAAGATAGCCCTTTTGACTTGTCATTGGCTCCGTATTAATTTGACACATGTACCAGCCTCTGTCCGTTTCTTGGACGTTGCGTATGTGTAAAAACCACGTACGATGATCATTGTAAGACAAAGTTATTCTCGAATTTTCAGTAACCATTCGATGGTGAATAGAAAGAATTGTTTGAGTATTAACACGAACCCAAGCTACCTGAAATAAAATATAATAATATTGTAAGTACAATCAGTGTTAAAGTAAAATAAAAAAATACATGTATAATATAAGTATACATCTAAGTACAAAACAAAATTTAATATTTAATAAATTTGCTTAATTATAATGTTTTTTGAATTATAAACAGTATAATTAAGGCACTCTGAGTAAAGAACAAAATAATTCAAGATTTTTGCATAAAAGCTAATAAGGATCAGGACCTGATTTCTTTAACTAGGAAAATTACATGTTGATATAACACATTTATTGTTATTTCGCCTATAGCTAATTTTAAAATATTGCACATATTACTTGTAAGTAAGCTTACGTATATATTTATATTATACTAGCGTTTTTTGACTAGGTGACATATAAAGAGATTACTCATAATCAAAAAAATATATCTGTTAATGTTTTGACTGTGTTGACATTTCGTTACTATGTGTTACTAAATTTATCAAAAACTGTGCATGGCTATCAATCAAAAATATACATTTACAAAACAGAGATTTCAGAGACGACTAAAAGAAGAGCTAAAACATCACATTTATGCTATTAGGTTACCACAGAACATTAAATCCCAATTTTCTAAGACGTGCGTGTTGTGTCCGTTGCCTGAATACGAAATCGAAGGGAAATAATCATAAAATATTGTTATATAGGCGTCGTATTCTTATATTGGGAAGTAGAAAAAAAAACATTTTTGATTTACTACAGTTTTTGCACTCGAGGGATAGAACCCAATAAAATTCGCAAATCTTCTGCGTGTTTATGATTGTGATCATCTTTATTTTACCCTAGTAGTATTCGTGAACGGGGAGGATGATCAGTAAAATTGGTGCCCGGAGGGGATCTATACGTATAATAGGAATGAACGAATACAGTTGATTACGTCACATAACCAGGTACTTTGAATGCACAGAAAGAACGTTGTTCAGATAACCTATGGGACCAACCTGTAGTGTGATATCACCCCACCATCTATTCTCTTTCCCTCTTACCATTTGTTTACATAAAAAATAAGGTAACAGAATTCAGGATTAAAAACTACACATAATAAAAAAAAATCATAGTAAATAATTTTCTTTATTCTCAATTAAAAATTCAATATTTATATATATATATATATGTGTATATTAATAAAAAATCAAGTATTATTTAAAATAATAGTTGTAATTGAATTAATATTAGTTCTTAAGACAGTCCTCACTATCATCTATCAATAAATTTGAACAGTATAAAATTTACAAAAAAGCATAATAACATGTAGTTTTATGATGTTCAACAAATCAATTAAATCAAACGTATTGTTATATCTATTTAACAAATCGAAATTATGTAATAATTTTAAGTTAAGTTTGATTATTTAATAAAGTACTTATATAATATTACTTAAGAAATATGAGAGTACCTATTAAATATTCTGTGTAATATTTAAGAGATTTGTTTTATTAATGAACTTGAGTATTCCTGTAAAATTGCTGATTATATTTTTATATGTTTTGCAATTCTCCTTAAAAGTACAGTTTCATTATTTAAAATTTTCAAAAATCTATAAACTTAAAAAAATATTTTTAATTCCATGAAACATTAATCTCGTTTAATAACCGTTTTTTAAATAAGCGATACCTATTACTATACCAAGACATGGATACAATTTTAATGTATTATGTATTTTAGTTAAGCAGAAATGGATATTTCTTTGTTCTTAAGTTTTACTTTTAAATAATAAGCTATCATAAACAAGATATACTGTGATGGAAGTAAAACTTTTCTAGGATTACGTTTAGTAATTATAAAATATCAACGTCAAATAAAGTTCTTATTAGTTAATGAAACAAGTAATATTTATACTTAAATTAAAATAATAATTTATTATTTAAATAAGGTTGAAATTGAAAAAGGATATTAGATTAGTCACAATGTATCATAACATTGTATTTTGTAAAATAAAAATGAACATTTTATGCACTTACTCATTTTCCAAAAATTCACTTTAATCATCTATTTCTTTCTTATAGCAAGCCTCGATTACAATCTCTCCCAACTAATTTCGTCAATTATCTTTTTGATGAACTCATTTCCTCTCGTTTTGCTAACTATTGCCTCATATTCACTGACGGCTCAGTTTATACTAATTCCGCCTGCTTTTCCTTTTTTATTCCTAGTCTAAACATGAATTTCTCAGATAATCTCCCTTCAAAAGCTTGTTCATTTACCACCGAATCTTATGCGATATCCTCGGCTCTCGAATTCGTCAAATCGCTCAATATAATAAATGTTCTAATTGTCTCGGATTCACTGTCAGTTTTATCATCTCTTTCCTCAGTTCCTTTTAAAAAAAGTAGATCCTTCCTCATAATGAAAATTAAAGCCTTAATTTATAGTCTCTATTTAATGGACATCAATGTTGAATTTTTATGGTGCCCCAGTCATGTCGGAATATCTGGCAATGAGATAACAGACCATCTAGCCAAACTGACTAACTCCTTCAACAGACCACCTATCCTAAAAATTCCCTCTTCCGATCTCCTTTCCTCTTTTCTTCCAACTATTAATAAAGCATGGCAAGATAAATGGTCAAATTTTTCTTTAGCTAACTGGCATAAATCTATAGTTCCAACTATCCCTAAACGTCCTTGATTTTACAACCTCCCTCTGTCCCGTTTCCATATTATCTCTTTTTCCCGTCTTAGATTTGGTCATAATCGGTTACCTAGTCATGCCTTTAACATGTCTCTAAACCATTCCCCCTTCTGCCCCAAACACAATGATGAAGTCTCCTGTAATTTTCCTCATTTACTATTTGATTGCCCAGCTTTACAACATAACCGTTTACTCTTGTTCAATTTCCTGTCCTCCCTTAATATTTCGCCCATTAATAGTTTTAATATCCTTAATACAAAATCCTCCTCAATAATTATACTTATAATTTCCTTCGTTCATTCAGCTGGCTTCGTTATATAATATTTTTCTGTATGTTAATTTAATATCCTAGATCTTTTTTGTTTTGTTCTTTCTTTTTTAATATTTTGATTATGTTTAATTTATTAATTTAACGATATGTTTAATTGTGTATAATAACAATATTTTGTTTTTCTTTTGTATAGTCTTAGTTTCTATTGTATAGTTTTATCTTAATCGTTTAGCTATAATAATACTTCTGTATTGAAAGCTAATAATAAAAAAAAAAAAAAAACATATAAAACATTAAACATATAAAAACATATAAACATTCAAAGTATTCACATTATCTCTAATAATAATAGTTGAGCTTATTTAAATTTTAGAAATGTTATATCTTATATATAAGAATTAACTTCCATATAAATAAATTGAAATAATAATTGAATTATAATAATAATGTTATTACTATAAAGTGTCTAAGACTTAACTGACAACACTTATAACTTTGTATCCAATTTTTTCTACTACTTAAATTACGTTTAAATCATGTTTTTATTATTTATCACTAATAAGAAAAAATAAATTTTGAAATGTATATTACATTATATAGTGTACATTGTTTACTCTGCCACGTTTTTTATAACTAATTTTTTTAAAAATCATTGACCTATCAAATCTTTTTGTAAGAAAATGGCTATAAAATGACTATTTCAAAATTTGTTTTCTGAATAGTGGTAAATAATAAAAAATATAGTTTGAACATAGTCTATGAAGGCAATAATTATTTAAAAAAATATTCAATGAAATGATAATTAGATCAAAAGTTATAAGCTTTGTCAGTTAGATCTAAGACACTGTGTATTTTATATAATAATAATAAAATATATATTGAAGAAAAATTTTTCTATATTTTGAGCTTTGATGCAAAGCTAAGAATGAATTATTTTAGGGAAAAACATGATGTATTTTCCCATGTTTTTAGAAATATATGTTGGGAAATCAAAGGTCATATTTTTTAATTGACAATCTACCATGTAGTTTACATGGTAGTTTTTTACTAATTTAGTAGTAATTATATTATGTGTTTTTTTGTGTTTGTACCACAAGTTCTTTGAACCGATTTTACTTAACGACACTTCGAAATATTACAAATAATATCTACAAAGTAGATTCACATAGTAAAAGATAATTTTAAAACTTTTCCTCGTTTTCTATTATTTTTGTGTATATTTTTACATCGAAGCGTTTAATGGCAGTTATGTTAATCACTTATAGAATTCAATCTATAATGGTGTTCACTATGCTGTGTTCTTACTGCACTGCTGTTTTTTGTAATATCATACATAATTTGTAATAATTAACAAACACAAACATTTTTCAACAAAAAATATGATATATTAATGAATTTAAAAATAACAATTTATAAATGCCTAATATAATAAAATATTTGTAGCGATCTTACAGATCTAAATGATGACAAATTATTTGAAGTTAATGGAATAATTTAAAAATAAGAACAAGAAGAGATGAAATGTTAGTAAAAGAATAATAGGAAAATAGAATTAGGAAATGTTACGATGAGCAGTTTTCATAGGTATTCCTATGAAGCCACATGGATAAATTATTATCTCCTCTGTATGAATAAACAAAAATAAAGTTAACCGTTTGATAATATAATAAATGTAAAGGGATTTAAATTGTTCAGACATAAAAAGCATAATCAATATGAAATCGTTGCGTTTGATGTACAGACTAGTTTTTAATGATCGGGAATCAACGCATACAATTAACGATCAACTGTAGATCTTTGAAAGATGATCCCGTTATGACAATCATGATCGCTACTCTTCTGAGGGATGTATATCGTTATCAACTCATCAGCTGTGGCAGAAACATGGAGAGTACCATTTAGAGAACCATCGTCTCTAAAATAGAATTGGGATAAACTTATTTTGTGAACTAACATCGCCTCCATGTCAAAGATATTATTCACGATAGGAATGTAGTATATAAAAACATAATTTTCGAAAATGAATTCGTTGACAAGTCCAAGTCTGTCAATTTCATTTTGTTCCGGCAAACCGTTTTCATCATTTATGGCTATTAATTCCAATGCGTTTTGCATAACGTCAATTTGGTCATCAAGTAGCTCATGAGCAAATTCGTCAATATCTACGTCCTCTACATGTGCCTCAACTACAACTATATCATCTAAATCAAATTCATTAGGAGCCATCGCAAAATCAAGCATAACTTCATTTTGTTGATCAAAATGCATAACTTCATTTTGTTGATCAAAATGGACAGCTTTGACTTGATCTGCATTTTCATTCATCACATCTTGAGAGACCATATTTTCATCCATAATGACGTTCTTGTCGATATCAGATTCGTCATCAGCCCAAACATTTTTCTCATGAAAATCATACCAATTTCTTGCTTTTCTAATGTTAGCATCTTCTCTTTGATGACGATGACGCATTTCTTTTAAAGACGTTTTACAGTAATTTTTTGCCATTTTTAGTTTAGCAAAACTTTCCTTAAGGTAAAAACTCGAAAATAACGAATATTTTTACGTGGTAATAATGGTGAACGATAAAAATTTTCTCTAATTTACAATCGGTAAAACGATTGTAAATTAATTTTTTATTTATTTAGTAACCAGAGAAATAAAATATGTTATTATTAGCCAACAAAAATGTTTTAAAAATCAACATTTACTAACTTCAAATAGTCAAATTATAATTAATAAATTCAAATAAAATAGTTAAGAAAATTTAATTAGTACTGGATGAAAGTAAATTAAATTTATTTTTGCATACAATGGTCCATTATGAGAATTGTATTAAATATTCCTAAATTAACATTAAACATTAATAAAATAAAAATAATTGCAATATTATTATCCATAAAATTAACTCTAAATGTTATAATATCTTCGCTTGTTATTTTTTTAACTTCTTTGCACACATTCATTGTGAAATTTTTTTTTTTTTGTTTAATTTATGATTTTAGTAAGTATTCAAAATTAAATGAAAAAAAAAAAATATATATATATAAGTTATGTTAGTCTAAACCTTTCATCTTTGAAATGTTTGATTTTAATTTAATAAATAGATAATTTAGTAATAGCTATATTTTATTTAAAAGAATTTTTATATAGTACACATTAAGAAAGTTTCGCATAATAAATGTTTAGTAATACAAATAAAGGTTGGTAAGATTTAAGGAACGGCGCAAGTTTAGTCAGTTTAGTAACTTAACTGTTTGGAAAGTCCTTTTTAACAAACACAACTGTACGCGCCGTCTAAAATTCCTATGAAGTTCAATCGTGATCAAAATATTCATTTGTTTTACACTTCGGTCTAGTTGTGGTCTGTAAAAAACTATTTTATGACAATTGACGCCAAGAAAGTAGCGGCAGTTTTTCATTTAAACAAAGATGTCTATTGATGAACAGCAACGGTGGCCAATGAATACCTAGAGTACCAGAGTGTCCCTTTGAGACCTACGTGACTTACCTTAGATGATACATCCTATTTGGTATTCAGGAAGAACTAACTGTTTTTTTTAATGATTCTACTTGTATTTCAAGAATTACATTTTTTAAGACAATTTTTAATGTCAATAGTACTTTGAATTTTTTCAAATCGATAAAATGACAACAGACAGAAAACTTTCACAATAAATGTAATAAATTTAAGTAATTTATTTGAAAACCGAATTTGGATTTAATATATTTTATTGTAAATAAAAAAAATACCAACTTTCATTATGTATTTCCAATAAAATTAAGATAACAACTAAGGTTTTGTAATATATCATGTTTAAAACAATAATATTTGAGCTAAATTAAATTTTTACTTGAATAAAATTTATAAATAGATGAGTGATACAATTTGTCAGGTACAACACTTTACAATCATGAATATGATATGGCATATGAAGGAGCAAGATTAATTAATGTGTTTGTCTTTATTAAACTTGTATTAGCATAGCCATATTCTTAATATTAGTGGTCCTTACCTAGATTTAATTTTTTTTATTTTAACTTTATATTTAAAAAAACATCCTATGACTTTTTAAGTCATAGGATTAATTTTTTAGTACAATTAGATTTTTATTATCCGGAATTATTGAGTATAATAATATTTATTAATATATTTGTAAATAATTTTGGTATTTCAATTTTAAAAGTGGAAATTTAAAAAAATATCATACTACTTCAGTTTGATTGATTGGTCCAATTGGTATTACTGTAGTAGTAATATTAATTTGAATCTTGATTTTACTCAATTATTTAACACTTTATTGAGTTATTTATTTGTAAAGTTTTTCTTCGTAAATAATCCTATCCAAGTTAATTTTCTAAGAAATTTCAAATTTTAATAAAAAAAAAAAAAAAAATTGACATCTATAAATTTTCTAGGGGTAAGAGATGAATGTAATTTTTTTTCAACAAAATGTTATTCTAATTATTTTAATTGGGTTCAAAATAGGTTGATTAATAATCCTAGATATATTTGATATGATAATATCCTGGATATGATAATTTAAAAACGGAGTTAGAAATGTTTAGCGAATTTTTTCATCAAATTATTTGACTTGAGTCCTTGATGAACTAATTGGATTGGTATTACTACAAGTACTAAATTTGGTACCTTGTTTTTTGTATATTATTTTTCATACTTTGTATTAGAAATATTTTTTATTCATATTTTATATTTATATATAAAACAAATTAATTAATTAATTAAATCAAAGTTAATATATCATAAAGTAATATTAAAAACTTATTATCGACAAATCAAAATTTTATTTCGTTCATTTTTTATTTAAAAGTATAAAAAAAATTATAACTTCTTATTTATACTTCGAAAGTTATCCTTAAAATATATTTTTTTCAATTAATTTAATATTTATCTTAGAACATAAAATTAAAAAATATTTTTTACAAAAAAAAGTAAGCCAGGTATTAGTTTTATTCGAAAATAGAGAATCAAAAGCAATATCAGTATTTATGTACATATAACCTTAAACTATTTAAAAAAAAAATACAAAAGGTAAAGGGCACTAACTAATATATCATAAAAACAAACTTTAAGGTTTACAAATGTTTGTACTTCGCATTCTTTGGATTGTTTTATTAGGACTTGTAAAAAGTTATTTGGCAAGACCCCAATGTCCGATTAATGTTTTTACACCAAAAAACTATTTGAAAAAGCAATAAAAAGTTTTTTAATAATTATAAAAATCTATGTACAAACATTTATTATAAATCACTTTTGTTCGAGTAAGAAATTATCGTTTAGTAAATGATAACAGTTTAGTTTCGAATGTATTTGTGTGTTTTTAAATGTTTAGAATATTAATAATAATGTGATAAATTACATTTTCAAAATATTTTTAACTATTACAAATCTTAAAGAATTATAAAGTATGTTAAAAACTCAGGGTACTAGGATTGCACTAATTGAAATTAATAAAAATCTGTTACAGTGATAAAAAACAACATAACCAACTTCCAGCTTGTATCAATGTTTTTATAATGTTTATAAATATATAGATTAACTTAAAATGGTATATTATACTGTTTCTAACAACTTTTTTTTGTACGAAATAACTTATAAGTTCAGATAAATCATTCTACCTCACTTTACGGTTTAAACTATAAACATTTTAAAAGAAATGATAATTCTTTATATTGTTTGATAAACGGAAAAACTAGAGATATTATTTACATTTGTTACACAAATATAATAATAGAGTGAATGAATTTATAAAAAAATTCATACTTTAGTTGTATATCTATCAGAAAAAATAAATAAATTTGTGTAATAATATTTTAATTTAATTATTCGGTACTGTAGTACTTGATAATAACATCAAAATATAGTACTATACTAATACTTACTATTAGTGGCTTAGACAGGATTTTGCTTGGAGGGGCTAAAGTCCTTTTTTGGCTTATCACATAGCCATACTAGCGCTAAAATTATATACTGTGAGTAGTAATAATTGGCCAATGGTGGGCCTATAATTACTTTAGCTCTCCTTTACTATGCTACTGCTTTCTATCAATTCGACTGTATATTTATATAATAGATAAAAATATACTCAAATAATGTCATTTAATAAAAAAAACAATAAATCCAGGCACAGAATTAATCAAGTGTGTAGTACCTACACTTTAACCAAAATAATTATGATGATTATAAAATAAACGAATGCTAACAATTTTGAGTACATTTTTTTATGGCACAAATGTTGATTTAAGTTAAATAGTCTACGTCAAATATATTGAATACACATTTCATATAATAGATTTTTTTATTAATTGTTAAAATAATAATAAAACATTAATCTAGATAAATACGAAAATTATAAACTTAACTATTTACTTCGTGATAGAAACTCCATTACTATACTTTGAGATAGTATACTCACGGGTAATCTTATTACATACACTTAATGCAACTAAAACAACAACCCGTAAATACTGACATTTCAAATTACGAAAAAAGTAATAATTAATAAATCATAAATTTGAATTACTGTACACCAAAATTTAGTTACATTTACTTAAATAAATATATTATTAAATATGTAATATGCTGAATAATAAAATTGAACTATGTTTGATTCACTAAATGGTTTATTTATACTCAAAAAATATAATCAGTAGTTGCACTTGTTTCGTAAAAGAAGTAGACTAAGACTTATTTGGGTTTTATTATTTATTAATTTTTTGTCGTTTTAAACTTGAAAAAAAAAAAATTAACTTAAGATATTAAATATCTAAAAAACATTTGTTCAAGTATCAAATTTGATACCCGTAAATTGTTATTATATAATGATTTTTAACTGTGGTATATTTTTATAGTCAATTAAAGAAATTTACCTTATAATTTTGAAGTTCTTGAACGACACAAGTAAGTAATGCATCTTTACCCGCAATTACTGTAACGTTTGGCACGGGTTCTGGAAACCACGGTCTTTTGGAGTCTGCAAATAAAACACGATTAACTTGAAAGTGAGTTAATCAATAACATGACGAAGTATCCATTAGAAACTCTCTTATAATATAAAATAGTTTTTAGTATAAGTACCTGTGTAGCAATCGACTTCAGTTATTTAAGAACATTAAAGGATTACAGAAAAGAGTATTCTTGACGTAGAAAAATTTACTACTATAAGAGTTGGAAAGAGTTCAAAGAAAATATACATTATTTGTTGACTTTATGTTTACCACTATAATGCATAATTATGTTCAGAGTTAAAAGCATTGCTTTGAGTACCCCATACATAGCATTTGTGTAGTTAGGGGGACTATATAAAAAAAAATTGTATTACTCTTTCCAATCAAAAAAAAAAAAAAATAGTATCTTCACTATGTAATAATTTTTTTTGACTGGGAGAATCTATCCCATTTCAACCCTTCTTGCATGAGGACCACGCAATTGTGATTTGTTTCGGGCACTGCAAAACCGGCTTTGAAAAATCCTTTGAATAATATGCATACATTTTGTGATTTTGGCCTAATATTTCAGAAGTTCTTAATAATTTAAAGTAGTAATTGGGGGTGAGTTTCGATTGCTACTAGTATTATCACTAGTCATTTCGTCTTCATTTTTTTACCGACTAGGTTTAAAAATGTTTATAACTTCTAAAATATTGGTCCAAAGTTGTTACTAGCCAGTCATTTTCCTTATAAGATTATTATCTAATATACAAGGTAGTTAAATATGTATATATTTTATAAATTTAAGATGACATACTTACAAAGTATAAGAGATGAATATAAAAAATATTTCATAATTACTTATATTTTTCGGTGAATTATGTGGTTTGTAATAAAAGAGTCAATCACTGTTTTAAGAGTCATTTTGATCAATTATCAAGCAGCAAGATCTTTAGAAAAATTAAAATTGTTTTTGATTCTTTTAAATTAAGAATGGAAATTTGAGAATAATGAACTAAATTAGAACGCTAAATTTGCAGTTGAAAATAGATCGTTTGTATATAATATATTTTATAGTTGACATCAATTCCAATGTGTTCTCTAAAATAACGATATTGTATTTTTTTTTTGTTGGATTCTACAAAAGAACATTTATTTTTAAAACACGTTTGAATTACTCTTATTTGGTCTTCAAATTACCACTGAACTAAAAGAAAAAAGGATAATAATTTGTAATTTATTTTACCTTATATAACACATATTTAACTATTATATAGTTCAATTATCTTCAGTTACATGTTACATAGATTCATATTACATAATAAAGTCGAGATAAATATTTTCTGTTAGTGATTTAATTCACTATTATATTTTTATGCTATATTAAGTATAGCATATATAAATTCTAACAAAGTTAAATCCAGTAAGTATTGAAAATTTTGCAATACTTAATATTACTGGTTTAAACTTTTTTAAAACTTACTAATGATAATTTACTCACGTTTTTGTTTTTGTAAAAACAATTTAACAATAATTAATATTGTTTTGTTTTATTAAACGGCTTATAAATCCGCCGTATAAAGACAAAAATGGCCTTATAATTTTAAGGCTATAAATTAAATTTTGTTGTATAGTTCTAGTATTTCAAAACGTAGTCCACTGTCCAACATGAAATAATAAATATAACCTGCAACTATTCATCAATGTGACATTTTGTTTACTTTTGTAGGAAGTTTGTTTTCTTTTTCATTAATTTTAAACGCTTTAAATAAAAGTATTATAAAATTTGTGTAATAATACTAACAAATAATAAAATATAGTGTATTGTTAAAAAAAATAACATTCTATAAGGTTTACCACGTAGTTTCATACATAAAATATTTTTATTAGTAAAAAAATAATAGTATATTTCGATATAGGAGAATGCAAAATCTTGTAAATTTTATAGACTATTAGGTTTTTAATTTAACTAAATATTATCATATTTAAAATTGTAATTAATGATGATTAATATTAATGATTTCTTTTTATATTTTAAAATTAAAAAATCTGCAGATTAGTTATAGTACAACAAATATAATTATTCTACCATAAAAATCTCGATTAATCCTTTAAGATATGTTTTATTGTAAATATCATTAGGTGTGATACAAGTTACATTTTGTCAAGATTATCTTTTTTTTAGCAAATGAAGTCTTAACAAAGTACATCGAACATTGTCGGTTTAATGATTCTTGCTACAATTCTACGTGATTATATTTGTATTTTTATAAGTAATAATTTTTTTGTTTAGATGTCATTTCATTTTTAAATAAATCATCCAATACGGAATTTGAAATTGCAAATATTTGATGAATTGAAATGGTTAACGGTTTTATCAAACCAAAGTAATTTCTTAAATTGTTTTTATCCGGTTTTATTTAATTAGTATTTTATTATTTCCTCCCAAGATATATACATTTTAAATTACAGTTATAATAAAGCACTATAAAATATTTTAAATTGATAAAAATTAAGAAAAATGCATCAATGTAATGGCATAAAAGTTACATTTAACATTTTACTATTTCTTAGGAAATTTTGTAGAAATACCAGTAACAAACTATCAAATCTTACTTGCCGGTATGTGATTATATATTGAAAATTTTACTCAACATATATATATATAGTTAATGAATTGATCCATGAACATATAAAATTATAAATTAAGCTATATCATAATAATAAAATTAACAATAAACATGACATTCTAAAATATCGATTACTTTTAAGATAAAAAATTCAAAATACATTTATTTTAAATTTAATAAAATTATTTTTAAGTGTTACTTGAAACATTTTGATCAGACGAATGCTTTTACTGATTACAACTACAAAAGTAAAAAAAAATGATAAAAACAGTGTTATCAAATATAATATTTGAAATATTATGATAACTTTTAATATTGTTATTTGAATTAGCTTTATATCCAAAGCAATAATTTAGAACATAATAGTAATTAAGTGAATTGAGGCGTTAAGGAGATTTTAGAGCATAGCCTTTCTAAACAAAATCTAACAATTGCTAAATAAATTGTTTGACTAAGACTACCCAGTCTTGTAGTCAACTAGAATCTTTACTAGTATAATGACATAAATTTAACGCAATAATAATAGTGATTTTCTCTAAATAATTAATGTGTGATTAAAAAAAAATGTATAGTAAACTAATAATATTAACTAACAGAATTATCTAATTTGTCTAGGGATGTATTTTGATTTATTTGATCCACTTATGGTAGAAACCGCAACTGCTCTAATATCTTATTGAGGCATTTATATTACTTATAATTAAAATATATTAAAAAGATAAAGTAAATATTTATCTATTTAACCTCCTCTCTCAAAATATCTTAAGCCTTCGTTTACATAATTATACTCATAAATATGACATCATCATAAATTGAAATTTATTATAACATTTTTGATATTATGTTCATTAATACTTTTTTTATCACGTCATCTTACTTTTGTAGTTGTAATTATTGAATCATTCGTCTGTTCCAAAAATTGTTCAACTAAAAATTAGAAATAATATTTTAACTTTAAAATAATTCTATTATTAATTACTTATTTTAAACTAATCCCTATTTTAGGATGAGATATCAAGTGTTAATTTTATATAGCTAATATTAATATGATATATAATATGTATGTTAATTATATGTAAAAATCAATTGTTAATGAGCAGTTTAATAAAAAAAATTAGGAAGATAAAATCTCAGAAAATGCTTCATTTTATCCTATTATCCAATTTTAGGTTTGGGGGGAAAAAAAACTTTTTTTTAATTTGAACAGATTTAAAATATATCCTTTAACGTTATCTAAGAATGCAAAAATTGTCAAAAAAAAATTAAAACTAAATATTTATGAAATAAAAAATTAAATGAGTTGTAGTTAGATGTATTACACACTGCACAGGTGGAACAGATCTAACTGACAACTCATATAACTTATGATTTGCAAAATATTTTGTACTATTATTTTTTAACCAATTTTTACAATATAACAATATATGTTAGGATTATATTTAAAAAAACCCAGCACAGGGGGTCATGGCACAGTGGTGACGTGGCATAGTTGGGTCAAGTATAATTATACCTGACAGTATATTAAATATTTATGTGCTTATTGTTATTTTTTTATTGTTTTCGTTTAGATTTATAAAACATGAACCTGTTTAATTTAAATCTCAATATGTTTTAAATAACGTTTTTATAATTTTTTGATAAACTTAATTTTACTATTTCATGTTTTTTCACGTCAATTACAGATGTACTTTTATAAAATAAAATTATATTTGATTATTAAGACATGCCATTTTAAATTTATTATTTCACGTTGCGTTTTCATATTATTATTTTTTAGAAATAAAGTAGAACATTATACATTTTTTTGTAAAAAAGATGTTGATTTTTAAATGAACCTATCAGCTATAGTAAACTAAAAACTAAAAAGTAAAATAAAAAAGTCAATTAAAAACATTGCTTAGGTTAAACTTTACTTTTTAAAAACAAACGTCAATTATACTTTTTAAACTATTCATTGATAATTCATTAAGCTAAATAATAAATTATTAGAAAATAATGAAAAGCTATACAGCTAGTACAGATAAAACAACTATTTCATATTAAATTTTATAAAATAATATATTTTTTTAATGTACCACTGGCAGGGAAATAACTCCATTAGTCAGATTTAATTAAACAAAATTCTAGAAAATAAACTTACTCTTATAATAGTTGAAAATATAATTTCATTAAAAACCGTTTGATTCTGCATTTAATTTGGTATTCATATCGTGTACGACTTAGCGCATTATAACGCGGAGAAACGCAAGTAGTAGTTTTGTGGAGTCTGCAATAACAGCGGCACTAAAATGATCATCCGGAATAGAGTTCTTAACGATTTTATAGCATCGGAGGGTTCATCGATGATGTTTGCTCGTTGCAATTCTATCGAGAATAACCTTATTATTTCATTGGCGAATGCAACGGCGAGTGGTGTATTACTGTCCATTAAGTGACTGCACGGTGTATACATACGAATTACCGACCGCTAGACTATATTATTAAAAGCTGAAGCGCAGGGCGGGTAAACGTTACTGCTGGCGAAGTAAATTTCCATAAAGTTTGCTTCATCGTCTGCCAGTGCTAATTAGTTAAGTATAAACAAAAGGAATTTCAAGGCCTCTGAGTATTTCCCCAGGTCTGTGTTTCTATTTATGTACCGCCGTCCTGGGCTTGGTAATTTCAGGACAAATGCGTTGGTATAAATCTTCTAAAAACTTTCAAAAGTATTTTCACACAGGGAGCAAAGTTTCCGGTTATATTTTCTTTTTTTTTTTTTTTTTTTTTATCGTCCGAGGGGGTTTGCCCTGATAGGTCTCAATCTGCATTTGCGAGCTACTCTTGGGACGAGTGTGTTGACAGATGATAGGGAAATAATAAATTTTCAAATAAAGTTAGCGTATACATTTTCCTTACCAAAATCCTCTCAGAATTTAAAATAAACACTTGATATTAGTATTCAAAACACCTTCACGTGAAATATGTGTAATATTTAAACTAATATTGTAGGTCACATTTAAACCTACTTTATATGTATTTAAAAATAACCATTGTATTACTTGATATTGATTATATATTATTATTTATTATAATTGATACTATTCGTGAAAAAAACAATTCAGAATATTTATGTGCAGCAATATTTATTATTACTATATCTTTGGCCTCGTGAAAATAAAGAGACAAAAATCTTAGGCAAACAAGTTGAAGAATAACATAGGCATCAATTAAGTAAGACTAAAGTACTTCCTTTTGCTTTGCAAATTAAAGATTTTTTTTTGGAATAATTTTTCAATTTTATGATGGTAATAGTTTTTACAAAATAGTACGTAAAATTATTTTCCAACGATATTGGCTAAACTTAAACTAAATGTCGGATCTTTTAATTAATTTTTTCAGAATATAACAGAACTTTTAATCGTTATGACTTCTCGAGACATTTATAGTACTCCCTCCTTAATTTTGCTACCTCTTCCGCTTTTTATCCTTACCAATAATCATTATGTTATATTTTGAAAACAGCTGTTCCAACGAAAAAATCTTTGATTGTTCGTTTGATAAAATTTGTTTCCGTTTCTTAAAATTTACTATTTAATTTTATTCCATCTAATTATCAATTTGAATTTATTTAAGCAAAATTAAAATTTACATACCTTTCATCATTATTTTCTAAGTTTGGTCATTAAATCGCATTATATTTTATAATACATTTTATTATCAGATAATAATGATGATATATTTAGAATTACGTTTTAAAATATATAGTAATGAATGGTTTTTCTTAATGATTTGACTTAAAGATGAATTTTAATGCGTTTATTAACATTAAAACCATACGAGTTTAATTATATACTATGTTTTAGAATTAAATAACATGTCTCTTTTAAAATCACTTTATGTATTTGAATCAAGAAAAAGCAAAAAAGATAGACAGTTTTAGTTGTAAAGCCAAAAACAAAATTAAATGATTAAAATTAAATAATTTTTTTATTATTAGTTATACCAAAGGTGAGTATTAACTAGTTAAATTATTATTATTTATTAACTTTCAAACTTGACTAGTTCATTTTTTAATTTACCGTTGAAATAACATTACATTTTTTAGTTAATTTGGTAAATATCAAGCTAAAATTATTTTTGTTGTAGAAATGTCTGGCTTTAAACGCAACATACACGATTACAATTAAAATAACCCAAAATAATACTAAATACTAAAATCTGTGATTTACGTTTCTTAATTAAAAATATTATTATCCTAAGATAAATTAACATAAAATATACTCAATATTGATATACTTTTATGTGATAAAAATAATTATTATTGAAAAATTCATTCAAGTATTCCAGATTTAAAAAAAGTTCTAAAAATAACTCAAAGAGCTTAAATAGTGTATGTTTATGAATATACTAATTTGTAGACATTCGATTATAATGATATATATATTACAATTACTTATCTTAGGTAAAAGTATAAAGCTGGAATAAATTGACTTTTACTCAACCCTTATTAATATTTTTTCAGCAAAAATTGTAATTCTGTGATTTATTAAGGGAGAGCAATTTTTGAAATTATGGATTAAGCCCTATAGTTGTATTAGAACTCTTCATAAATTAAGAAATCAGGAAAAAAAATATATCACTCTTTATGTGATCCTCAAACAGATTAAAAAATGTATAAACTTTATTTAACTGAGTTAAGTTTACTTTTTTTTTTTTTTTTTTGTAACTTCTAACAGTGAAATTTAGAAAATTTTGACTATTAACTTATTGACATTTTATCTATTTAACTGAACTTAACTCAAGTTAATTATTTACATTAATTTGCCGATCTTTTAGTTTTATAAATACTATATTTTAATGGTTTTAAAACGTCAATAATCCAAAAGTTACTTCATTAGACTACAAAAAAATCACATTCTTAAATAATTTATTATTTTTAGATATTATTCGTTATGTAGTTCCAAATTTTTTTTACTTGATTAAATTAGATCAAAGTATGATTTAAATTTTATGAAGCTTGTATTTATAAAGCTATAATCTGAACTCTCAAGGTTTCAGTCTTAAAGTTTTCCTTTGACTATGTCAATTAGAATGGTTAAAAATCATGAGTTTATTATAGTAACTTATTTAAGTTCAATAAAAAAATAATTCTACTAAATGGTGATCAAAATGAGTGAAGATTTGTTATATTTGTAGAAGGTAGAAGAAAGAAGGTAACATAAAATTGATGAATTGACTACGTGTTTAGCATTTACCTTAATAAAAATAAAAACTTCATTCACTACTTTACGGGATTTCCATGATATACTAGTGTAGGAAAAGCCATAGCTTAATTCAATATACTATAGCTACCGGCAAATACGGTTATTTTGACCTAAAGTACTAAAACTTCTATAAGGTCAGCTACAAGAAATTCGGATGACACATTAGATTGTCAAGGCTATCATCTCTGTCGAATACTTTCAGTACTCTATAGTTAATATGAGGTAAAAATAAATTAGATTTACACTTGTCATAAAAGTAAATTAAAAGAGAAAAGACATTTGATTTGATAATATACCGAAAGTAATTTAATCATTAGAATCCAAGTATTAACCAGTTACGACGTTTAGATTAATGATCACCACTAAGGACAATATCAACAACTTTCAAGGATTTGAATTGGGAGGTGTTAACTGTTATTATACAGCTGTTCAACTATTGGATAATTATTTTTTCGCATGACTATTTTTAGTAGATACACGATTTAAATACCGATTAAGTCAGATATTATACTAAGTGAATTTTTCATACCTTGCAAGAAATGTACGGCACTAAAATATTCAGATCCTAGAAAAAAATCAATTTTAAGTCACCAAAGAATAATAGTAATTTATTTATTGAGAATTAATATTCTACAATTGTCACTATTTCATTTATAATCCATAAATATTAATGTACACGTTTTTAAGTTCAGAGTTATTGATAAGTAGTATTATTTTACTATAAATCTATAATATTTTTACTAAAACCTGAGAAGTATTTAATTAATTAATTTTAATTTATTTAAAAATTCGCTTTTAAAATAGAAGTTCAGTTTGTTTTTTTAATTTTTCTATATATTATTGTAAAATATATTATCAAAGATCAATCGTTTATTATTAGCTGTTAACAACTAAAACTTTTTACTTTGCGATTTATGGTCCTGGGTAGTTTAATTCGTATTCAGTGTCGTACGCTGTAAAGGTAATTATGTACCCCTTTCTTCGCAACTATTGAGTATTTTAGATGAACTTGTACAAAACTTAAAAAGCCAATCAACGAGACAATTTTCATACTTTTTCTGTTCTAATTATACCACGAAAAATCTTCGGCTTTAATTCTACATGACATTGCTATAACGTTTGCTCTGTAGATGATGAAGATATTTTTATTTTATATAAATACATAATTCATCAAAGCGCACATATTCACATGGCCTGTGTATATTGTTTATAGAACATTGAAATCGGTTTTAGCTAAACACGAATGAAGTATTAGTTAGAAGCGAGTGAGATGCAAAAGCATAGGCGGAAAGAATCCTGTTCGTATACACTTGCTTTATTTTTAATCAAAGTTTCACCTTAAACGTATATGTATAGATACAATTAATTATTGTGCATGAATATAATAAAAGGAAACACGTCGAAAATTATCTCGTTTATAAGGGCGTTAATTTGACGGTTGTAAAGACCTCGGTAACAATACAAAACTTCTCTTTTGCTAAATTTTGACAACCAAGAATGTATCAGCCCACGATGAATTTTACCAGGGTAATGCTCATACTCGCATAATAATATGTAGGTGACGTTTACTAATAAACAGGTGAATTTTGTTGTTTTATGCGTGTATCAGAAGCCAATGTATTGTTTGCATGCCAAACAATAACTCCACCAACATGGCACACATTATAGTCTTCTGCTATTGCTACGAAAACTGCTTTGCTTTACTGCGCTACTAATAACGTTACTCTACGAAAGAAAATTTTATGAGACCATTTATATTGATTTACACACGTGTACTAAATCATTCGTTCAAGTACTTAGTGGAACACAATTTATTTGCATAAAAGTGATAACAATTATGAATAAATTAAATTGGTATTATCATCTTTACTAGCAAGATCTAAGATTTTCATTGGACTATACCGATTTTATAATAAGTTTTATGTACCAATGGCTAATGTACCTGGTTTAATAATTTGTTGACTAATCAAAAGAGAACAACTTGTTACAAGAAAATGTTTAAATTCTTTATGAACTACAATATCCAGACGGTTTGTAAAAACTCAATATACCCACAGCTGAGCAAAATTATGATAATTTAACGAGAGAAATGATACACGTTGAGCAATAGTAGAATACTGAAATATTCTATGTAATTAATGTAAGATGGAGAATGCGCCACGAAGGTTCAATCAAAAAATAATATTTTATGCATTTTGAGCGGAAGGAAACATTATACAATAAGATCACGGCGTTTGTTGCAAGAAAAAATAACCGTCTGCGCGTATTTTATTTGATTCATTTTTTACTGTTATTGTACTGTCATGCTCATTTTGAACATCTGAAATGTAAGTATCCATGAAATAATCACATACTGAATCTTACCCATGTAATATGCATAATGTTTCTTACGCCTTATCTACAAAATTTATGGTTAATTGGCTCATTCAGTCACTTAAGTACACCAGAAGAATATTTATGCATATTTAACTTTTTCCAAAGGCTATCTTAAAGAGATTGTAATAAAACGTTCTATTTTATTTTATTTTTTATAATCACAATATTTAAATTTAAAAACTGAAATTTTAGATGAAAATAAAATTCATGATTTTTAATAGTTATACATTATGAATATAAGAACATTGGGTTTATTTCAGAAGCGTCCTATACATAATAAAAATTATAAAACTTAAAT